TGGCTACGCGCAGCCGGCGTAGCGTCTTCTTGGTATAAATACATATGAGAATTGGGTCGCTGCCCTGAACCCCGGCCATCACGCACCGTCTACGATTTTCCTTCTTCGATAATCTCCTTCCCCGGAAGTGTCGTCTACGAATCTCAAACGCGCCACTTTTTCGCAAAAATTTCATCACAATTTCGATACCTTAATCGTATCATCGCAAGATTCCGAAGATTATTACACTGAAAAAAATTGTCTACTACTGACTAAACCTTTCAACTAAATGTATTATTTTTGTTAATTGAACATATAAAATTATTTAAATTAAATGTAACATATTAAATCTAAGAAAACGTATATTTGACTTAAATACTAATATGCTGAATAATAAAAATTTATTTGAAAGGTTTAATCAAGTTAACCAATTGTTTTCGGTGTAGAGACTCAGTAATTTAAGCGCAAAGATTTTTTCTTTGTATAATAATATATATTATATATCAAATAAATACTGTACGAGTATCAATTTCTCGCTTTCTTTCATTATTTTATTTCATGTTTTAAAATATCTCGCACTATCTTATGTAAACATGGATTTTGGTTAAATCAGCTGGGTTTTTATATGTTTAGCTTTTGACCTAAACAAAAGATGTAATAGTTGCAAAGATAAATAATGAACTATCACTGAGAGTTACCACGAGCTACAATATATGAAAAATCCAGCTGAGATTTAATTTCATCTAGGATTTAATATAAATTCAAAAATCCTGCACTAATCCTATAAAATTGAATCTTTGTAAAATCAGCTGAATTTCTCATGTCGTAGTTTTTGATCTACTGAAAATGTAATACGCTCAAAGGATAAATAATAGATAATTACTGATTTACAACCAGTCAAACGCCAAAAATTCTCAGTAATAATTGTTCATTACTTATCCTTGCAGCTATTACATCTTTTTCTCGGCAGGCATTACCAGGGTTTCTATTTTTCCAATTTCAAGTTCCGAGAAACGATATTTAACATATACGTCATCTACTCGTTATTTATGTCGTTGTCGGAAATACACAGAGGGAGTTTTCTCTTAAAATTTACCCTGAAAATCATAGTAATCGTGGGACAATATGGTATTGGAAGAATTTTATAAGAATTTGATATAAAATATGTTCGATTAATTTTACTATATACATATGTGGGAAATATTAATCAGAGAAACTCTTATAAAATTTTGTCAATATTGTTTCATAAGATACAATCAATCACTCATAATTAATTTTAATAGCCTTTACTCCAATATAATTTTAATTCCAAATTAATTTATACAAGTTATGATCTCGACATTCTTGAGGAAAATTTTTCAATTGTAAACTATTGAATCTTTGTATCGAAATATAAATTCATATATAGAAGACAGTTTAATGAAAAATGATTTTTTCTGTGATTAAAAAATAATATTTACCACAATAAAAATATTAATATCTATCATAATAAAATATACTCGATTAGATTTATTATGTACATACATAGTACAATTTATTATGTAATATTAATATTTTTTATTGTGGTAAATATTAATATCTACCACAATAAGATATAAAATATACTCGATTAATTTTACTATGAACATAGTAAAATTTACTATGTAATATTAATATTTTTTATTGTGCTAAATATATTAATCAGAGAAACTCTTATAAAATACTTCGAACACCGTATTATCCCACGATTACCATGACTTTCAAGATAAATTCTACGAGAAAATTCTCTCCGTGTAGAATTCAGAATCGAGAATGCTAATAAAAAAAATAGATATACGTTGGAAGTCGAACGCTCGCGTGACGTCGATTAGATAATTGGGAAGGAGGAGACGCGGGTCTGTCGTGGATTTGTGCGGATGTGCAATCGCGGTTTTGCCGCCTCCGAGGCCTGGCCTCCCGTGTGTCTGCCATATGACAATACCATCTGTGGCCCATGCGACCGAAGTACGGGGATCCTGCGATAGGTAGAACCTACGATGGGGGTGCGGGAGAGAGCATCTTGCAAGCCTCGAAACCCAACCTTTACGAAATGGAATCGAAAGGTGCGGCCCGGAGAGACGCGCCCCGAAAAATGCAGCTGGCAAAATATCGCATGCTCCGAAACGCGGATGTCGCGAGCATCGATCCAAATCATCGATCCGGACGGATCGATTTTTTTTATGCGCGTGAAAACGAAATGCATATAATGCAGACTGCATTTCTGGAAAGATGCGTTAATTAAAAATAGACACAGTCGGCTACAATCGACAACTGTGCTCCAAAATTTTATTAACGATCTCATAGTCCTCTGAGAAAATTATTTTTATTGAATTGATTTGAATTATGAGTGAATTATATATAAAAAAGATGCAACTTTTCAATTAAAAATATCCACATGTTTCGTAAAGAAAATCGTAACTAAATATGCAATGAAATTGCATCTAATCAAAGATATCACACTATTTTATTACCAATAGAGCAGGATGGAGATCAAAGCAGATGTCGCTCAAAGGCGGTGTTAGTAAAAGACAGGTCGATAACAGTGCGAGAGAGAGAGAGCAGTGCATTTAAATAAGCACTTTAAAAAAATAATCATAGACATGTTAAATATTTAATTAATACATAACTTGTTCACATTATAAAAGAAAAATGATCAAGGAATAATTAAAATCAAACAGGTTCAGTCACGAGAATACAGCATTCATCCTATTCTTTCTGCCTAATAAATAATTCGTTTATCTATTTAATAATTGTCCTTTTAATATATTCAATACATATTTATCACGTTGCGCATATGTCAAACGTCATCATAATCAGCTGTCAAATGATACGATACTCAAAAGAGAGCATTTAAACTCGCCACGTGCAATTGCGACAGCTTTATAGGAATAAGACGCGATAAGCTTTTCTCTCTTCGATAAGAGAGCTAGCTTACAACACGCAATAAAATAATTCTCACGGACGATCCATGTGATCGATCATCAATTGAGTCCAATATATATCGGAGCATCTCTCGAGAGGAAAATTCCCGAGAGCATTTCCATCTCTCCGCCGACAAGAACCCACAGGAAATGGAATTATAAATCCCGTCCTAACCTCCCTGAAAATTTCTTACGCGCGACGAGGAGCACCGGGTGATCCTCCCGGATCAGCGCTGACCCTCGACGACGATCCGCGAGGTCAATCGCCCTCGCGGTTGACACATGTCAAGGGCGCGCGCGCATGGAATAAAGACGACGTGCCGGCACGCGAAAGCATCAATATACATATATATATATATATATATATAATATGTATATATATGTAATGGGAGAGAGAGAGAGATGGACAGAGACTCACTCACCGCTGTGTCCGGTGTTGCTCGACGATTGACCCATCGTCGTCGTTGTCGGCCCGGCGACGGCGGCGGCGGCGGTGGCAGTGGTGGGCAATGATGTCGGGTGTTCGTAGAACTTGGTTGCGAGGCGAACTGCTCACGTGAAAAAGACGCGGACGCATGGGCGCGCGTGAAACTGGCACATTTTCACAAGGACGATGACTGCGGCGGCGGCGGCGGCGTAGAATCACCGTCAATCGTACAGACAGTGCATCTTGCATCCGCAGTGTCGCTGGGATGCCGACACGACGGGACACGAAACGACGGAACGGACGACGACCGCGCTCTCGCTCCGCCGCGCCGCGGTCAGCGCGATAGATAAACGGCGCCGCGGCAGATGATTGGCCGAGCGGCGAAGGCGCCGATTTTGCGCGTCGCTTTGAACGCGCCGCAGCGCGGAAATTGATTCCCGCGAGAGAGGACGATGCGACGCGACGCGGCGTGAAGGTGTGCGCGGATGCTGCCGCGATTTTTCCGCGCCGGCGATATATCGATACGATCGATACGTGCATCGAGGGGGATCCATGCTTAAATTACAAAATTATCTTTCGGCGAGTTTTCTTTGAAAAATATAAAATTGTTCGTTTAAATGCGGACGAAATATCCTTTAACAAGGGAATTTATAAGATTCTTTTAATAAATCTCTCTCTTGAGCTTAAATTTCTCTTTATAATATTTTCTGTTTAATAAATATTTAGTCATTTAAATTCCCTAAACATTTAGTTTCAGTTATAAAATTCTTTAAAAAGATGTTAATCATATGTGCATACGATATATTTGATTTGTAATTATTAATTAATATATGATTAAATATAATATAATTATATAATTATAATATTGATTATATAATATAAATGATATACGATGTAATTAAATTGATACATGCAATTATAAAATTATTTTCAGCGAGTTTTCTTTCAAAAATACAAAATTGTATATTTAAATACGGACGAAATATTCTTTAATAAATGAATGTATACGATTCTTTTAATAAATATCTCTCTTGAGTTTAAATTTCTCTTTATAATATTTTCTATTTAATAAATATTTAGCAATTTAAATTCCCTATACATTTAGTTTCATTTATAAAATTCTTTAAAAAGATATTAATCATATATATATGATATGATATTTGTAATTATTAATTAATATATGATTAAATATAATATAATTATAATATTAATTATATAATATAAATGATATGATACGATATAATTAAATTGATCCATGCAAGTTAGAAAATTACCTTCCATCGAATTTTCCTTTCAAAATGCAAAATAACATTCTTTCAAGTACAGATGAAATGTCTTTGAATTAGATAAATGCATACGATCCTTTTATATCTCCAGTTTTTTTAAATATCTCTTTATATAAAATTTAATATGCAAGTTCAGTAAGTATTAAATTTAAATTTTCTAAACAATATTTAATTCCACTTATAAAATTCTTCTCAAAGATGTTGTTAATCACATGCAAATTATATTACATTTATAATTATTAATTAACAAATTATTAAATATAATTATATAATTCAATCAGTATATATTAATATTAATTAAATAATACAAATAATATGATACGATACAAATAAATCAATAAATAAATAATATGAATTCTAATACAATTGCATGCAACTAAATTCTAAGAAATTTTCTGCGTTCTTATCGCAGACCTAATTTCATTACCACCGCATAGTCTTACCGAAAGGAATGAAAACACTTGGCGCTATTTAAGGACCTAAAATCTCCGAGCATCTTGAAGACACCAGGAAAAAAACGATATCTCCGAATGGCGAAAAATGATGAAAAAATCGAGTCATCCAAGTTTTCGAATCACATTTACAAATCCCAAATCTACACCCACTATTCGCGTGTCGCACGTGCGTGTCGTCCGCGAATCACGCGACTAGCGAAAGCGTATATATGCAGAGATGGAGAGAGAGTGTAAGTCGCGTATAAAGATCGCGGCGAAGCCAACCTCGCGGCGTATCCTCGTGGAATCGGCGAAGCTATTGATTCCTCGCTGCGACACTGGTCGTCCAAAGTCATCGATCGCCCCTTAAATCTTCGCGTGGGCGAGAAATCTGTCGAGGGGGTTTGTTCGCGATCGTCCGCGGTGCGGATCGCCTTGGTAACCGGCTGTGCAAACACTACGTCGACGAGCATCGTCGGGAAAGCCGTGTTCACCAGTCACCGACAGCTCATCCCTATGGATGGTGTTACCCTGATGCGACGACGATCGCGATTGTCCGATCGAAATGATCGGTATAGTATCTGTTCGGTATCGTCCGGCATGTAGAAGCTGACGACGACGACGGAAGTGCGATTCTATCGGGAACAAGTGCTTTAAATCGCAGCATGAACGTAAGAAATTCTTGGATCCTTCATTTGTTGATCATCCTCGCCCTCTTGCAAAAAGGTCGGTATATTAATTATACCCCTAAGAGCACAACATATCCGAAAGCATTCAAAGGATATCTAGAGGACATTCGAACATCCTCTGGATGTTCTTAGGATGTTCTCTATACGTCTTTCGAATATGGGTTGTTAGAGACGATACTCTATAGGAATCACTTAAACTTTTTCTCTCTCGAAATTTGTTATTATTATTAGGTCAAGTGCAAAAATATTGAAAGAAAAGAAAAAGGAAAATTATTAACTTTAGGTTTAATTATTAGATTGTTTTTTTTTTAGTAAAAAATGTATTATTTAGTGTTTTATCCGCGAATCTCGCGCGAGGAAGCCTTCAGTTGCTGATCATCCTCGCCCTCTTGCAAAGAGGTCGATATATTAATTATATACTCTAGAAATCAGTCAAACTTTTTCTCTCTCGAAATGAAATGATCGAAGATTAGGTCAAGCGCAAAAATAATGGAAAAAAGACGGTGTTATACTCATCTATCCGCGAATCTCGCGCGAGTAAGATCAATAACTGAGCCGCGAGAACGAGTTGTTAACGCGACGTGTATAGTTTGTGCAATTTTGTATAAAAATAGCTCTCTCTCTTTAGCACCACACGAGCTCTCAAACACTTTGTCGATCGCCACGAGATCTTTTTTGCAACGTTGAAAGGCGACATAAAAATCCTCAGCACCTTGCTCCTTATTCCTGGCGAAAATAACTTTATATCAGCTAAGAATTTTTATATCTATACAGAGTGTCCCAGAATTACCGTATCACACGTTAATGGGAGATTCTTGAAGCGATTTGGAGACGATTTTTCCTCAGCGAAAATGTCGAGAAAGGTCACCATTTTTTTAATGTTCTCAATTTTTGAAATCATGTATCTTTGTAACTAAGCCTTAAATTAAAATTCTATTAGAGTAAACTTTACCTGAAATTAACTAAAAAATGCAGTTTTGTTAATAATTTATTTTGACAAGGCTTAGTTTACAAAATAGCTTTTATTTTCAATCATTTATAACTCGAAAATTATTGGTGCCTGGACATTTTCGTTGAGGAAAAATCGTCTCCAAATCGCCTCAGAAATCTCCTATTAACGTGTGATACGGTAATTCTGGGACACCCTGTATATAGTGTAAAGTGTTGAGGAAGACAAGGTGTTTCGAACGCGAGAAATATCGGTGTCTGGTGAACACGTTTTGGATAAAAATTCCCCTTATCTTTCTCTCATTCTGCGTTTCATGAATGAACAACTTCCCTCAGGATGGGCCATCGACTGCTTCAAGTGCGTCTCGATCGATGGCGACAACAAACCTTGCGATGACCCATTTCACAACAATGGCAGCCTCTCTTTCTTAGAGTCGCCCTGTCTCGGGGGTCGAAAAGGCCGGGATGGCCTCTTTCCCGCGACAGCCTGCATCAAGATCGCCGGCATATACGGTAAAATAAAAACAAGAGCCACCGAAATTTTCATACTTTCACGCACTGTTTCTCTTTCTTTTTTTATACTTCATTCAAATTGATCGAAATTCAGCCACACGAATTTCGCATCTAAAAAGATATAAAATTATCTCTTAATTAAAGCTGAAAATTCTTAGATGCCATTTTTAAATGAAAAAAAAAACTTCAAAAACTATTATTTTCCTTTGACAGTCAATCAACAACCGTAAATTGATCTCAGACTTGGCATGTACAAAGATCAGGCCTCGTATTATAGTCATTTACATGCGGCTGTTGATTGATTATAAAGGGAAATTTTTAATTAAATTGATTAAATTGATTTTCAATTAATTTAATGGGTTGTAATTAAATTAATTAAATTGATTTTCAATTAAATTGATTAAATTGATTTTCAATTAAATTAATTAAATTGATTATAAGGGGAAGGTTTTCGAAGTATTTGAAGAGTGTGCTAGTTATCTGAAGTGCCGCTTCATCGAAATATTTTTTATTTCGAAATAGCACCTAAGAATTTTCCTCGCCTCTGATATCACAATTGTAACGTAATCGGCGAGGAACCAGGAGCCTTAATCAATTGTCCGATATGATATCAGATGAATCCGGTGTATCTCTCATGGTGAGGACCTGCGCGTTAGACAGCGGAACTTTGACGACCGACTCCGAGATTATCAGAATGTCCCACTGCGGTGGTTTTTACTTTGACGACAAGTAAGGAGAACGATATAAAAAATTAAAAATTAAAAAAACGCGCGACTAACATTTTTAAACCTTTATATGAATATTCTCTCTAGATACGTTCGCGGATGTGTGCAATCTTGCAGCGATGCAGATGCATGCAACGGATCGTCGAAGAATTTTGCACCACTGGTTGCCTTAATGTTGCCGATCCTCGCGATATTCGTGTAATTTACATCGTTCTATCTTGCAGAAATAAAAAATTCGCGAATACGAGTCATCATGTCAGGAACGGAACAGTTCGGACGTAAGAAAATATGGCTTTAAAAGATTACGGCAGCAAACGTTGTAGTAATTATATCAATGTACGATCATAATTAATATAATGATCTTTCATTAAGTCTTACGATACACAAAACAGATACATGTCCCAGCAAACACAATATATAAATGTTATATACTTAAGCATGTTACATGTAACGTATATGTTAGTTGTAATTTCCCACTCATAGATATAACATTTTTAATATTACATATATTACATTGTAGTTATATTGTCATTATATCCCAAGATAGCACTGACTGATCAATACAATATAATACTTATCAATATAATATGTATTGAATACATCAATGTGCTATTTGGTATATAATTACAATATAACTACAATGTAATATATGTTCTATTAAAATGTTACATCTATGAGTGGGAAATTACAACTAACATGGATGTTACATGTAACGTGCACGTTATATTACCTGTTATATTCCGTTTTATTATAGTAATGTAACAATTATATATCGGTGTTTGCTGGGTGTATATAGAGAATACTGCCAGATTACGATTTAAGCTATATCTTGTTATCGTTAAACAACAGTAGTTCACGTCATTTTTCTCTGGTTATCACTAGCTTTGCGTATACGATTAATTAACTACAGCTTGATATCAATAAAGCATATCTTAAATTGTTAAACAGACATTCTGCCTTCTTCACTTTTCCTTATCGCGAACGCGTAGATAACCAATTTCAGGTAACGTAAAATATCTATGCGTCGTTTTTTGTTTCGACGAAATTAATCGATTAATATTAATTTCTTCAATTTTTGATAATCGACAGCTTAACATTCGGTTCGTGAAATTTTTCTGCGACAAAGTGTAAATTTTAATGGCAACACTCGACCATGAAAAATTCGCAAACCAGTGCCTTCGATCAATTCGCGAACTCCTTCTGGCGAATTTTTTGCTGGCTCTGGGAAACCATCGAACTCATCCTGATTATCGTGGTCGATTGCTTAGCGAGGCTAATTGAGCTAATACTCGTGACAATAAACCTAATATTTCAGGTGACAGATTTTGTTTACATTTCGAATGTATCGCGGTAATAAATAAGTAAGATCCAGGAGAAGGAAAAGATTTTATAAAAGTTCAAATTAATGCAGAAGTTTTTGATCAAAATTGAAAAAATTTTTCGGAAAGAGAGAACGACTTTTTAGCAAGGCATAATCGGATTTTTTAGGTGATCTGCTTTCTCAGGGATTTATGCATCGACGCAATGCAGACATTCGCTAATGTTTTTCGAGGGATCGTCAACATCGTTAGCAGCATCGATCGCGACGATGTCGAGGACTTTGCCTCTGCCTGCATCGTCGTCGTTTTATTCACCGGAGCCTTCAAGATGTTCATGAACCTTCTAAAGCGGGTATATATAGCATATATATCGCGTAATAAATATTATTGTCAATAAAATAGGTGGCAATTCTCGCATATCCGATAATCGAACGATTAACCGTCACTTAAATTAACAATTATTTCAGCTTTAAATTTTATAAAAAGTATATATAAAAAAGCTGTTATTTGAGATGATTATTTTCGAAAATAAATATTTTATCTGATCAATACTGATACCAAAACAGGACATTTGCATATACACTGAAAAAAAATTTCTCAACTTGACTAAACCTTTCAACTAAATATTATTTTGTTATATATATATATATATATAACTGAACATATAAAAATATTTAAATTAAATATAACATATTAAATCTAACAAAATGTTTATTTGATTTAAATACTAATATATGTTCAATTAACAAAATAATTTAGTTAAAAAAGGTTTAGTCAAGCTACCATAATTTTTTTCAGTATAATATATCACATGTTTTTTAAATGCAAATAGAATCTTGCGCAGGTATCCCGTTTTGACGAAAACTGCCTTCCATATTTTTTATGCGACTTTTGCAAATGTGGTACTATTATACTTTTTAGAATCAAACACGACGAAGCGCCGGAACTTTAAGCTGTTCGTTTGCGTTTCTCGCGAGGAATATCACTGCCACGTGACGTGGAAGGTTGCGGTGCAAAAACCAGGTAAACTATTTCGTAAACTATTCCCTGGATTTTTATATGGATCTCGAAAAAACGATGGATCTTGAAATCCATGTCTGTGTCTTTTTATCTGGTTTTTGATCCGACGACGGTTCGCTTAAAAATTTTAAACGTTCAATGTCGCAAACGTTTATATTATTTATAAATTATGCATAAAAATATAAAACTCACCCCATGATGACAAAAATTCGTCGTAAGGATCAGGATCGCCAGGGCATAGAAAGTATAATTGCATCGCTGTGGCCATCGTATCATGTGTAAAATAACAACTGCTGCTTCAAACGTCGAGATTTAAATCGCGATTTCATACATCGAGGATGATAGCTCTTCGCACTTAAACTCTCGCCTCTCGAACGTTGACATATATGACCGAATTCAATGTCATATTTCAGTATTCCGACGCAAAGTTGTTCAACGTGTTTGGGCAAAGCATGACGCAGGTCGGTAATAATAATAATCCGACAAGGAGACACGGACAGGATGCATGTCCTCCTGAAAGAAAGACAGGCAGAAGGATAAGGCAACGAAATAACAGGCGATTGATTAATACAAGAAAAGGATAATTAAGATTCTTATTCAAGCATGTTTCGAGGTATTTTTACGAGGTATTTACATAAACATTTATTGTCCGTAACAACGTGTAAGACGCGTATATCAAATATAACTTTGCTGTAAAATATAGCTCATAATTTATATTATTTATGTATATACATTATTAAATATGTACGTGCAAAAAATTTTACAACACTTTATTATATTATTATCCTCGTAATGAGATAATATCAAATTTAAACAGCTTGACAAGTGTTGTAGAAATTTTTCGGCACGCGTATAAGTATCAACTTGTAAAAGAGAGACATTGGAATCTTCGTAGAAAAATACAAGATGCTGTACTTTAAAAAGAATATATGGAAACGTGCGCAAATCTCTGCTTTTACACATTGATGAACAATATATAAGTCAATTCCCTTAAACACATAAAAAAGCATATAAATTACAAAATCTTACGTTAGATAGTCATGGAAAACATTGCTGTTATAAATATAAGATTCGATCTGCAACAAGGTTGAGTTCGATAATACTTTTATTGCATTGTCTTTAACTTAAATATATACGAAAACGATATGGAGCGAGCTTTAATCGTTGATGATTAATCGATGATGGTGATGACTAAGTTATGTTCCGGCCAAGAAAACGTTTTTGGCAATTGAATCTGTAATGGAATACATCGATACATATATACAATATGAAATGTTGATGTCGAAATTAGAGTTGAAAAATATTTTGAGATCAACATTCCTAAATGTACATCGTATATCATCATATTTCGAAGCAAATTTGCATATCATTACCTTATCGGGTGTGTTCAAAATTTGGAATTCTTCGGCCATCTTTTCGGCTAGCTCTTCCGAAAGGAGCACTTGCAGCCACGGACCTTGAACAACATACGGTCTGTCCTTGGATACGAAGGTACCCGTGACCGATGGCGCGACTATGGTGACAGCTGTGTGGGACAGTATGGATTTGAACGTAAAATGCCTCCCGTGCATTACGCGACCTCTGCAACGATAATTATTGCATTATTCATCAGACGTTGCTGTCGGAACGCTCGCGCAAATTCTGTTTCTCTCGTCATGACTAACTTTATCGCTAACGGTAGTAACGAGCCAGCTTCGAGGTTGAACGTTAGGTGTAATCCAGACAAAACTTTAATACAATTTTCGTCGGAGACGTTGGCGTCCTGTTGCTCGCACGGCGAAAGCCTCTCTGTTTTTACGATCGGTTTCACATCCTCCTCTTCATCGTCGTCGTCGTCGGAATCGTTCCTTCTCTCCCTGTATCTCTCCGCGCTTTTGTCGTTCGTTATTTGCACCCACCTGCACAAATATATAACTTAATTTTAATCCGATCCAGATTCTAAATAATCTTTGAATTTTTTTAGTCGTTAAACTCACCAACACTTTGCGGACACCCCGCTCGTGTTCGATCCGTCTCTCTCGATGCCGCACTGTATCTTTTCCGCTATAGAAGGATCGTCCTCCATGGCGGAACGCATTCTTCTCATGTTCGTGAGCAACCACGGGCCGCAATCTCGTGCGCTTTTTAACAAATTTACAACGCCCGGACCGTTCCAATGTTGAGCCGCCTGCAGTTCCTCGGAAGTGACGCCGACGATTTGAACAAATGAAACCTAACAATAAGAGAAATCGTTTCATCTTCTATATCCAAAGTACATATTACAGATTTCATTTCTCAAATACACGACTTGTGAGTATGCAACCTCGAGTTCTTTTTTCTACGTACATCGCCGTGGGGCGTAGAAATCGTTGATAGCTGCGGGTCCTGTCCCATCAAGATCTGGGTGATACGACCGTTTCCGCCGTCCAACGGAGCGTGCCAAGAAACATGGTCACCCGGCATCAACGTGTTCCCGGAATTGAAAACATATTTGGCCAATTGCTGCATCACATTCGCCGGCCATGTGGGCGGCGTCATCTCGCCCCTTTCGTGAACGAGACGGAAAGTAAGCTCGAATCCGAATCCGCTTGGACGACCTGGACCAGGTTTCGGATGCAACCGACCGTCGCCGTGTAGATCGGACAGTCCTAAACTAAATTTAAAATAGATGGATATTATATAAAGCAGATATTATATGAGACTATAAGAAAAAATAAGTTGTTTCAAAGAGAGAGCCATATACATACATATAATCTCTGAATTTGATTCGAAAAGAGAGGAACAAATCACGTTATGACTTTAGAAGTGATACGGGTGGCACGACAGAAAAAAGCAAGGGCGACTCTCAGCTGTATCCCGCAAAAAGTATGTAGACATTCGGTCAATGGCGATGTATAATTAGACGGCGCAGACGAAAAAGGGAAAGTCCGGCGCTTCTATTTCCGACTCCTCGCGCTTTAAACGACTTTGTTCCTCTTGCGCCCTACACGCTCCCTCTTTCTCCCTTTCTCTTTCTCTAGAGAGGGAGAAATGGAGAAAGAGAGAAGGAGTAAGAAACGCGGAGCAGTATTGAGACAGCTGTTTGAAACTGAAGAAGCGAGGGTCGCCTTGGTGCAGATAGGGAAAAAAAGAGCCGGCACCCTTTGACGGAAGGTCATTCGTCATTCGGTACACAGATTCCAATAAAACGTTGGAGGGAAATACATATATCGTCTGCACAGTTCATATGTATCTGCCATAGTTTGCATTCCAATTAAATTTAAATTTAAATCCGCGGTTCTTGAGCTTTATCTCATAAATATATATTTAATAATGTTTTGCATTTTGCATACAAAGATAAAAGAGACTCAAGTTCAATCAACTTTGTTGTAAACTTTGAATAGTATTATAGAGTAAATAAATGGCTTCAATTCTTCGAGTTTAAGATGCATCATATAGATGTTACATTTGATATACAAATGTAATTCTTACCTCACATAATGCCAATGTGGAGGTACTCCGAGTTCGGGACATCCTGGATTTGCGTACATGCTAATGTAATCCAGAGGATCAGGTCCTCCTAGCCTAAACGAGAAAAATAGATGGAAAATTCGAATCAGCTGACACAGGATATCCGGTATGTAAGTAAAAGAGGGGGCTAAATATAGTACTACGTAATTAATGTTTCTCGCGAGGGAGGGATGGAAAAAACGAGTTTCTACCAGTACTTTGTAAAGAAGCGTATCTCATATTACATTGCCTATATCAGGCTCAACATTAACTTGATAAACAATGATTCAATAATTCGCGATAAATGTGTGAATACATCATCTAGCAATCGGGAAAATAATATATACGTAATAACACAGCTAAAAATAACACAGAAAAATTGAATAAAACAAGAATTTATTAATCTTGTTTTATTTTATTCTTATTAATTTATTTTATTTAATATATATTAATATATTATTTAATTATTTTATATATATATATATATATATATATATATATATAAATACATAATATATTATTTATATATTAAAATAAAATTATTAATTTATTAATTTTGCAAACTGTAATTTAAAAGTGAATATAGATTAGATGCAATTGAATTAAATAATAATCGCTAAAAATAAAGTCTACCTCCGACAAGGTATACACGACATGTATATGTGCATACAAAAGTAATCGTTTACGATTACCTGGCAGGAGTACACCAGTTGCTATATACAGACAAAGTATAGGAGCATTATAAAAAAAGTTCTTTTTTACATTTTTCAAGAGTAACGCCACTTTTCGTGTGGCGTGGTATTGGTTGCATGCTTACCAATACTTAATTATCGCGGTGACTGTTAAGGGATTAATCTGTTCCGGATATATCTGCCTGCAGAGGCTGTACAGGGCGTCCAGACCCGGGGCCCCTGGCGTCGACGGCGGCAGCGGGGCCTGGACCGGCTGACCCGGTGGAAAACTCCTCGTGAATTCCTCGCACTCACGCATGTTGTACATAAACCCGGCGGGATGCACGCGCCTATTACGCGCTTTGTTTAACAGCCACGCACGAGACGTCCACTGACATCAGTCGCACTGACAAGACAAAAGCGAAGATTGTCTTTGAGGATCACGTAAATGGGAGACGGGAGAGCGAACGTGGAAATCCGGAACGCCGCCAGCGCCTCTGCAGGCGCGATCGAGTCTCGTGATTGGCTCCGCCATATTTCGTCAGATCCTTGAACGGGATTTGATCGGGATCTAACTTGATGGATCGTATAATGATGTAATGAGTAATGATTGTGGCGTAATCGAAGCAGAGAATTCGTATACGGTAAAATTAATTATATATGTTAATACTGCTAATTTAGATATTTTGTATTGGAATTTTAATACACACACATTAACTTGATGAAAATTGATGGAATAATTCGCGATAAACGTCAGTGTATCATGTTTGACATTAGAAAATGTATATGTATATAATAACAAAGAATTTATATAGAAAATTGTTAATAAAACGGGATTAATTAACTAAAACTTTTAAAAAAATTTATTTTAAAAATGAAGATTGAGAAGGAAGATAAGATTCTTAATTTAATCAAATAGAAAGAATTTTGATAGAGTATACAACAATCAAAAAATTAGTTAACGACTACCTGGCAAGTAGCAATTGCTATAAATGTTAGCAATTGGATATTGAACTGAAATAGAATGTAAATGTAATAAATCTTATTTTTTGTATTTATATTTATTGTAGCTTCAAACATGATTAACTGCGTTGCACCATGGTGCAGAAATTCTTCTTGTAAAGGATTCAAAATGAATTATTTTCCACGAAAAAAAAAGAGAAGAAATGCTTGGATAAAAAATATAAACAGAACCAATTGGATACCAAAACGAAACTCAGCTTTATGTGAAGTATATACATATATTACGCTTTAATAGCATCAAATGTTTTAGATATGAAATGCTAGATTCAATAAGAATTATTTTTACATTTCAGGCACATTTTGCACCAAACATGTGGATTGAGACACGAATAGGTGGACAAAAGAAATTAAAATCTTGTGCAATACCCACGATATTTGTCAGAAATAAGAACACGCACTTGCCATTGAAAGAAAAAAGAAATGGAAATAATGAGATAATAGTAAGGATAAATATTTTTAAATCAATTACTCTATTACAGAGAAAACATTCGATACATATACAAAAAGGTATGTAAAATAAATAGTTATAATATTTTATTTTTCTAAAGATTACATGTTCTTAATATATTCTCCATATATAATAGGTGATGAATCTCAAAGTGAATGTAATGAAAAATCATATAGAAGTAAAGAAACAAATAGCAAGCAAATTACTGACAATATTAAAATTCTTTATGAAAACAATGTAGAAGGCAATACTTCAAAAGAAAAAAGGATAGAAAAAAAGATATCAGAAACTTTATCAGAAGGTGTCAAAACAATATCTAATTCTACAAATAAGAGATACCTATTAAAAATTACAATTAATAGAATTTACAAAACTCATTAGTAAACTTAAAATTAGAAAACAAAAACTTATAAAAACCAAACAAGACTAAAGAATTAATATATGTAGCACAAGAGAGACAAGTAGAGGAAGTAAAAAGCAGATGCAGAAAAAATATATGAAAGTGATACGTTATCAGAAAGCATTAAAAATATTTTGAATAAAAAATTATGTAAATCTCAATATTTAATTTTAAATTTATATTTAAATTTAAATATCGAGTAATAAATATAGATAGAGTTCTATGCACATGCTCCAATTACAATAATTTATTGCAACAAGAATTTCTTTTATCATTACAGAGATTATTTTCAAGTTTTTCATCTTAAAAATATCAAATTGATGCAGAAAAGAAATCAGATAAACCATAAATTATTATTTTGTTATGATTTTTATTAATATAAATATCTTTTTTCATTTTGAAGAATATATTATTAAAGAGAAGTATATATATATATATATATATATATATGTATATATATTTTTTTGTATTGTGTATGTATAACTGTTAGAGGCTATATATTTTGTAAAAAATTAACTAATTCAATAAAAATAAGAGAATTGTATATTTTCAATTTAAATTGATACTTTCAGCATATTTTCTTTTTTCAATTATATATCCAAATATCCTTATCTTCTTCGTAACGCATCATATACTAATTATCATATTTTATTGCGCATGATGTATTCGCATTAGTAATTATGTAAATGAAACTTGTAAATTAGTACCAAGCGAAAAATAGGTCCAGGCAATGAAACAGCTGCCGACAATGTCAGCGCTCTCCAATTATCCTCAAGGTCCCACTGATAGTCACGTCGTCGACGCCACATGGTACGGTATCTCGAGGAGCTTTCGAGATGCGCCACCGAGTTTCTCGACGCGCTACTACCACCCCAGATCCCATTCTGTGAATCCGCGAGAGCGAACGTCAGGTCGTGTCACTCTTTCACTTCTCGCGGAAGAGATTTCTGAAGGGAAGGAGAGACAGGAGGTGGAGCGAAAACATCAGCGGCGTTTCGAGAGGATCGTTTCCGCAACGGTGCTCGCTCGGACGGACGTCGCAGTAATTCGCATATGCCTGTGCGAGGCAGCCAGTTCGCAGCAGCTTCGGCGGCCGGCAGCGTGAGCAGCGGATCTGTGCGCGCAAGCGTGACATCAAATTTGCGGCATGGCGGAACGCAGGAAAAACAGGAAGCGCAAAGATGTAAGCGTCGCATATGGGATGTGGGAATCGGAAGATGCCGATGTTCGCGGGATGACAGCTCGATCGGCGCGCGTTCGCCCTCGTTTCGCGGTCCCATTCGCTCGACCTGACACGTAGCGCGGATGTCACATTTCGCATTCGTTGAACCCGCGTTGAAGCTCCTCGTGACGTAGACAGCGCGCACGCGATACCTTCCTCGCGACGAAAATTCGACAACCAATTTTAATTACTATGCTTCTTGCTAATTTTAATTACTCCTATTTTTTCCCTTCCTCGCGTAGTTTAATATTTCTCCCGGTCAGATGTTCTGGGTCGACAATCTAACGGAAGTTATTGTTTGCAACAGGAAGTAGCCAGTTTGGACACAAAGGTTGCCCAGGACAAGCCATCCAAGGAGGAGTACGCAGTGGCAAAGTGGATACGCAGCAATGTACCGTCGAAGAAGACCAAGTTCGATAGAGCACACAATGTCGAGTACTTCACTGGGTCGCGCGCGATCGACGCTCTGTTGGAAAATTCACCCTGGAACACGATGTTCGAGAATCGCGAGCAGGTCGCCCAATTCTTGGACTTGATGTTGAGGCACAAGTTCTTTCACAGGGCCAAGAAAGTGGTGATCTCGGAGGAAGAACTCAATAAAATGCGGGGTATTAAAAAGAAGACTAAAGATGAACCGAAGAAACCTGCGGAGAAGGAAGATTTGAAGGAGACAAAAGAAACAGCTGTGGTGAAGGAAGAGAAAAGCGAAGAGAAAGGCGAGGAACGAAAGGAGCATAAGAAAAAGCCAAAAGTAAGAATGCATTTACTCGTACAGCTTAAATGTAATTTTTCTTCTTTTTTTCCAAGATAAAAAGCACGTTTGCTTCCAGGTAAGACTAGAAATGCACATGGAACAGTATTTTGTGGATTGTAACGATGCATATGTGTGGATATACGAGCCAATTCCCGTATATTATTGGTTTTTTGGCACATTGGTAGTCTTAGGTGCGATAGGGGTCTGTCTCTTCCCACTGTGGCCATTAACTATTCGTCATGGCGTATATTACCTAAGCGTCGCCGCCGCGGGATTCCTCGTATTCATATTAGCATTGGCTATTATCAGAATGATTGTATTTTGTCTTCTGTGGGTTCCCACATTAGGTCGATGCCACTTGTGGTTGCTACCTAACTTGACGGCCGATGTTGGCTTCTTCGCGTCCTTCTGGCCATTGTATCAGGTTAATAGTTTTCTCCATATTTCTAATTTTGCCACAGATATAACGATCGTATGAATTTATAACGCAAAATTTATTTCAGTATGAATATTATGGCCCAATGTCCGATAGTGACAAGAAAGTCAGTAAAAAGAAAAGAAAGAAGGAAAAGGATTCGGATTCCGAAGATGCGCCGTTACTTCAATCGTAAGTCTCGCGATTTATAATTTAATTGTACGTATTACACGAAATATATAAATATATCTCTAATATATTATGATTCGTTCTAATATATTATGATTCTAATATATTAGGATTTTCTTCTCTTTTCAGAGAAGAGAAATCTAGCGCGACGGAGGCGCCTAAGGAAGATGAGCGAATCGAGGAGTTATCTTTGCCCAGTGAAGAAAGGAAAGCTTCGTCTGACTCAGCCGAAGGAGAGGACGGCAGCGAGGAAGGTTCGGAGAGCGAGAAATCTAATACAGGTCGAGATTTCGTTATGGTTTAAGACAGGTAGGCTGGGCAATAAATAGCTTCATGTTTTCTGGAACAAACAGCTGTATTAATTGTCGCATTAATCATCGCTGAAACCGATATATGCTTGCAATGCGTTAACTCGGTCATCGAACTGCAATTTAACGCACGGATTTGAGGAAAAATCGAATATAGCAGATTCTCCAGATTTTGTTGCATTTAAGTACGATCGATCAAGAACGAATGAGCAAAACCGACTTGTGATTTTTGCAGGGAAAGAAATTTCCAATAACTGGTGTGATTGTAAAATACTACTCTTTAGAAAACGCGCGTGTGATAAGGCGTATTTTATTCTATATATGTAATACGAAAGAATTATTAGATGTAATTTCGTTATTGAGCGTATATCAGTTTCCGTTGAATAAATTGTGAATATTTCAAGTCTTTAATCCTTAACGCGATCCATGTCTACCGACAGTTAACATACATAGTTAATTAATTTCGCACCGAGTCCTCTCGAGTTTGATGTAAATCAATTTCATCGAATCCGGGAAGAAGAGATGCTTTTAGCTGGAAGAGAAGGAATCTTTACGGGTACAGAACTTGATGTTTTCTTCGTCCTTCGTCGATTATAGCGCGAGTTCCTTTTTAGCAGAAATGAGAGAGAAATCCAATTTTACAAAGAAATATATTCCCGATTTGATACAGACGAATAATTTATATTTTTATGCGAAATTTCTAATTATATTATTGTTATATTATTATGATATTTTGCGATTATACCATAATATCAGGATCTATGTAGATCTACCAGTCGTGAGTTTATCTATATCGAAATAAAAGATAAAATAAAGCGTTATCTATTAAATGATGTTCATTGTTTCAAGATGCAATCCCACGGAGTTAGATTAAGAGCAATTGGCCTTGGAAGTGATCTCGCGCAGCATCGCGTTGCACATAGCTGCGTAAGGGTTCAGAGCGATCAATTGCTCTTTAGCGAAGCTCGAACCAGCCTTGGCCGCACGTACGAAGTCTTTCCTGGCCTCATCGTCCTGTCCCATCCAGCGATAAAGAGCGCCACGTTGACAGAGCGCCTGGATACCCGCTCTTCCTTCTCCTCGGCTCAATTCCACCGCCAGATGCAGATCCTTCAAAGCCTCTAAAGGAACACGATAATTAAATTAGTTCTTCTCCCACGCAAGTATATTTGTGAAACTCTATTTTATACGTCGATATATTTTGGAAATGTACCTTCGTCTCGATTCGCTAAACGTAACGCTTGTGCTCTGTCGTTTAGAATCGATGGTGATTCTGGCGCTCGCTTTGATGCCTCGTCGAAAAGTCGAAAAGACTCGTCAAAGTTCTTCGCTTCCGCGCAGATTATCGCCTTCCTCACGATTTCCGACACGTGCGGTTCTAAATTATCCTCTTCCAACGTATCTGTTGCCTCTTCTCAATGGGAACAAATATTTTTATATATTAATAACATCTTGTTTGCTCGCTATCTGCGTAGTTTATAAAAAGTTGAATAGCAACATGTCAACATGCAACCCTGGTCGATTTGCACGTGCGTAGAACCTTGAGAGTTGTATAATAATAAGAAAATTTATCTGTTATTGTGCCGCGCGCGGTTTTTTACATATTCATGACGATCTGAATGTCTCCCGTGAGAATCAACACGTTGGAACGCACTTTTGCGACGCCAGACGAAATGCGGTTACCCACGAGGCTTTACGCACTTGCAGATTATTCGAACAATCCGTTTTTTGCGAGTTTGCAGTCTCGAATCGAGTCTAACTAGCGCGACAAGTCGCACGATTTTACGCCGTCGTTAAGAAGAACGGCACTTTCAGCAGCAGCACGAATCACGAGATAACAAGAAATTACAGAGCATTCGCGTTATTATACTCAAAATTTTTAGGAATTTTTAAATGTTATTAAATATTACTTTTTAATATCATACAAATTGTATATTATAATGTTATAATATTATATTATATATTATATTATTATATTATTATATATATATATTATATATTATAACTATTTCTGTTATAATATATATTATAATATATTATATAGTATTATATATTATAATATATAAATGTTTTTAAATATTATTTTTTGACAAATTAGGAACGCGAGAGAGATTTGTCTTGCTATATATATATATTATTAAATTTATTATTATATTGTTATATTGATAATGCTATGAAATTTTTATTATTATATTATTATATTTATTATATTAATAAGTACTCTAATAGATATTATAATTGTGCGTTGACTCTATGTATTGTTTTGCGTCACGTACCAACTTCTTGTGAAAAATTAGGCAGACCGAGTTGAAGAGGATCGAAGATTGTATTTAGGACAGCTCGATCGCCTTCGCTCAGACTCTCCATGATGTTGACTGAATTCTTCCGTAGATCCTGTCGACCGATCGACGGAAACTCGTTTCTGTTTATCGTGAATTAATCGTGTTGCGTCACGAATCAATTAATAGACCGATCTGGAATGTCGCAGCTGATGTTGCTCAGATTAACAGAAATTTTATATTTTACATACGAAGTAACTGCTACTCTTAGCTATTTGGCGTAAAAATCTTGTGTAGTATAAAGATTCGATAAATTAACAATATGTCATCGATCAATAGTCTTTACATATATTAAGATTTAACGATATGTCATCCGTGTTTAATAATTCTAAAGAGGCAAGAATATCAACCAACTTTTAATCATGACGAATTCATTTCAGTTTACACTTGCTGATTCATCTCGATATTTAAATATACATATCTACCATACGTCTGTGCAACTTGTTATACAAAAAAATATCGATAGCGAGTCAGGAGAGAGAGAACTCGCAATGTCATTAATTTCTGGATCCCTCATAAATTGTGCTCGCGCGAATAAGCGGGTATAAACAGCTGGACATTGACAGTCGTATTTCCATGTGGATCGTAACAGTAAACGCGGAGTGTTTAATGTCCAGTAGATTATTTCTTTCGTAATTCGATGAAATGGGCGTAACCAGTCGGTGGGAAGAGAAGACATTTTTCGGGGCCAGTTCTTCGACGAAAATTGAAACTTTAATGGATCCACATGCGCGGATCCCGTTTTCCTCGTCGTTATGCAGACGAGAGCGCGCGATTTTTCGCGATTCTCCGCGACACTCCTCGCGGATGCCGCGACTTTACCGTTACCGTTAACGGGGGTCTCGTCGTCGACGTGCTTTCCCACGAAGAGCGCGAACCGAGGAAGCGCCGCGACGAGGGATCTTCTCCGCGGAAAACGAACCTTTGCTTCGGTGAAGACTTGATCCTCTAAGGTCGCCTTTCTCCTCGATATCTGACGACAAATTGCGATTAAGAGTATCGTGTAATTAATGATTTGCGTGATGCTTCGAATCTTTCAAAATAATCTGAGAAATCTAGATCGATATCTCGTACGTTTTAATGCATAAAATCTTTAAAATTCTTTACGATTACTACTTTTGACATATATTCCCCATATCGTGTTCGTATGTAAAATATAAAATTCCTGAACATCAGATTGAATTTTTTCTGTTTTTAGAAAAAAAAACTTGAAAATAGTTTTTAATAGTTTTTAATTAGTACTCAATTTAAAATTAATCAATTTCCTATTTAAATTGTAAATTTGATTCAGAAACTATATACATCTAAACAATACAATTCAATGTAAGGTAGAATTGCGGTTCGAAATACCTCTCCTATATTTTTATCGAAAAAGGTACAGTTTTGAAATTAATTCTGTACACACGGAAATTTTCTTTTGGAATTTACCCTGAAAATCATGGTAATCGCGGAACAATATAGCATTGGAAGAATTTTCTGATTAATATTTGCCACAATAAAAAATATTAATATATGTACCGCACACACTAAGATATAAAATATGCTCCATTAATTTTACTATGTACCTATTAATATGTTTTTATTGTGGTAAATATTAAACAGAGAAACTCTTTTCTAAAAAAATTATAAAATTATAAAAAAAGATTCTTAAAAATTATCCCACAATTACCATGATTTTCAGGGTAAATTCTAAGAGAAAATTCTCTCCGTGTAAAAATGAAAGACGCGCGACACACGAGGACACATATAGGAAAATGAGAATATTATAATAGCGAACCTTTGTAAAAAAAAAAAACTACTTTGTACATGCAATGTCAGCGCGATAATCAATCGGACAAACCCTTGTTGAGGTCCAGCCACGGCGAGGCGAGACGCATCGCGATAACCCCCACGGAAGGGCGGGTCGCGAAAAAACGCCAGCGTATTACAATACTTATGCCTGTGTCGTAATGGAATAAATATTTCATTTCGCGGGCTACACGAGCATATACATACCTATACGTACGTGCATACGCGCGCGTCCTGCGTTTTTCCTCCGGGCGCGGTGGCGATGCTCACGTCTCGCGCTCTGGGGCCCCCATCACGACGGCGAACTTAACGGCCCATAATTCATTGCCGACGTATAATAAATATCGTTAGTCCGTCGTGAGCGCACGTAGACACGTGGGGGAACGAGCAGGCCTCCCTTGCGAGATTTTACATTCGCGAGTGTATTTCTCTCCCGCGTACATATCTCCGACATCTCGTTTCGATAAAATCCTCGTATTCTTCCGCCGATGATGGTACCGCGTCGAGTTCACCATCCGACGAATTGTACGAATCAATATCGGCGAGAGCCGGGAAGAGCTTAATCAGCTTCGAGGAAAAGCGTCCAAGGACGATCGCCAATAACGCAAATTGGGGCAACGATGCGGCGTTTAATTACAGCGCGCTCGTTTCTTCATTTTTCGGCTTTTCTTTCTTCTTAGTCGGCGGCGTCGAATTTATGGAGCACATCGCGCTATACGCATTTACGTGCGATATTTATGATCGTAAGACGAGGACGGCCCTTTCGTGTGTGCATGCTGGTACACGCCTTCCTCTCGTCGACTTCCCCGATACGACTCTGCGGAGCTTTCGGCCTTGGGCCCCGGTCTGAGAAAAGTTTCTTGAATAATGCGCGCCGTTCTCCGTGTATCGACGCCACCAGGACGGATGTGAAACACACACATCGTCTAGTGGTGGTGGTGCATTTGCTTTATTTCTGGCGAAAATCACGCTCGGCTATTATATATAGCGGCCGCGCGATACAAATTGCAGTCGAGATTAATACGGTAAAATTATTGCGATCGTTATTCTTCTCCTAAAACTTTCTTATATATCAAAAAAATATCGTACTGGCAAATATTATTTATTAAATCACGTTTCGACCCTTCTTTGAGTCCTTATCAAGTGATGTAGATATGCATAGAGAAGAAATACAGTACAGAGATTAATACAATAAAAAAATTACTTCACTTAACAATATTACAAAATAATATTTCAACAATATTTCGCTCATTACTCGATTCATTCATGTTTCTGTGTTTTAAAAAATTAATCCTTTGCCAGTACGGTCGAGAGAAGAGTCTTACTTTTTTTTTTTTTTTTTAAGTTCTGTCTGGCGATTCTCAAATATCTACGTTTTTATTTTTTTATATATCATATCTTTTTTTTCATTATTAAGATGATGCGATTGTTTGACATTGTTTGACCTCTTGACGCAATTTAATATTAATCAACATTAGTCATTTGAAGATTCTTTGGACCTATCGTCTGACGCTACTCGTCATTTTGTTCCGCAGTTTAATCTTATTCACGATGAAAAGAAAATTTCCAAGGACGGACCCCGATCGTTTTGAAGTTTTACGAGATCATTCCGCGGCGCAGCTGCATCCTACGCAACGTATAGACGCTTCGCAATCTCCTACGTCCTCGGGCGAGCGGGAGGACCGATGGAATTTCAAATGAGGATGCGGTTGTGCGAAATCGTCAGGATGGATTTTCGTCAGGACTCGGTGCATAATCGGTCCCCCGACAGAGAGAGGGAACATTAAAATCGCCGAAGAGGACCGAGAGGGATAGAAAAAGAGAGAGAAAGAACTCACGAAAAAAATAAGACCGCTAAAAGTCAGGGTCTTCTCTCGCGCGACCAACCGTCGCGGTTGCTTTGCGGTTACCTGGTGGACGCCCAACGGAGAGAAAAAAGGACTTTCCCTTTCACCTCCTCTCCTCGCATTCTCTCCTTCTCTCCTCGTCCCTTATCGTCCTTTCCTGATCCCGCGGAAGAAAGCATCCTCTCTAGCGCAGACAGTCGGATTTATATTCAAATGAATCCGCGATGGAAGAAGCCGGGATTTATCGACGCTTCATCAAACCCCGTGGCACATGGGAAAGAGGAAGAGCGGAGGGAGGGATAGATCAGGGAGAAGGAAAATCAAAGGGTTAAGTTACGAGAGAGGAAGGATGCGCCTAAGGGACAGTTCCTTTCTTCGCTCGCTTCAACATCGCGATCTCTCCAAGTCGAAGATTATGTAACGAGCCCCGACGTCTTCCTCGGAATATTCCCAATTTCTTTTTTTATATGATTACGTTTTCTAATTATGTACGCTCTAAAACTAACGGCACTCGGTCGAAACGAGCAGCGCGGTTTCGGTCGTTAGTATTAATATTACAACTTTAATTCGTAAGCAGCGGGCATTTCCGCAATAACGGGAGCGACGATAAATGTTCAGGCAACGGTGATAAGGCGATAAAAATTTGCGAGCGAGGTTTTTCAAGAACGCAATTATCGACGCGACCGTGTCCTCCTCTCTCGCATGCCTTTATTTAGCTTTAGTCGAAACCGGTTGCAAGCGACTCCGCTTCTCTCTCTCTTTCTCTCTGGAAGAAGAAGACAGAGATGAAATCCAGGGATTCGGCGCGTCGCAATTTTTAGGGTTCCTCTAAGGCGCAGGAAGGAATTTCGCACGGCCGGAATGAAGCAGAGACGCTCGAAGATTTCTTCCAGCTGGACATCATCGCCGACGTGACGTCGCACCCGGTGCTAAACATTTCGTCTGCGTTTTACGTAAGATATTATTCAGTTGCTCATTTTCGACATGCTAAATTTCTAAATAAGAAGCCTTTCTCCTTATGTTAAGTATATATATATATATATATATATATATATATATATATATATATATATATATATATATATATATATATATAGTTTCAACACATCTAATTTTCTCATACTTGATGTAATTCCAGCAATATGCTTAGAAAAAATGTCTTATCAACTTTTTAATCTAATTAGTTGAAAATTGAAAGTTCCAATATTAAGTATTAAACAGTTGTGTAATTGTTCCAAGCATGAAATTTCAAAAGAGTAGATTTCAGATTTATAAGAGGAACTGTCATTAGCTGACATTTATTTTTTTAACAGCACTAAGCAATGTAAACTAAAAAGATAAGATTTAGAATCCTTTCTCGATATGCATGTACATCAAATATTACTCAAGATAATTGTAATACATTGAAGAATTCTTCCAGTCTAATCCTTGAAGAACTTTCAGGGACAAGGATTTTCATACCGCTTTCGAATCGGTCAAAGTCGATCAGGTAATTTGTTACGTCACCAGTGATTTAATTACTCTTTCTTACATATTTAATTTTCATTTTTGCAGCTCGTCCAGAATGAAAGTGCGCTGCAACACCACACGCTAGATCGCGTGGGCAGCTTGCGTCATTAAGGGTAGTAACTTACGGTACCGGAATGACTTTGGCGGAGAAAGTGGCCGGGTGTGGCCAGACGGCGACACTCTGAAAGGAATCGTTCTCCTCTTTACGGAGATTCCGCACTTCTCTTCAATTGGCTTCGAATCCTCAAGTCTGCAACAGAAGACAAGAAGGTGACTTCAATCTTACGATATATTTTTTATTTTAACAATTATTTTTTTCTCCTCGTAATTGCGATCGAATAAGATACACAGAGAGAATTTCTTCCTAGAATTTTATTGAAAGCATTTTATAAGAGTTTCTCTGATTAATATGTATACATAGTAAAATTAATCGAACATATTTTATATCTTATTGTGATAGATGTTAATATTTTTATAGTTTTTTAAATAAATATTAATAAAAAAAAACTTATAAAATTCTTCTAGTATCATATGATTACCATGATTTTCAGGATGAATTCTAAGAGAAAATTCTCTCGTCGACACTTCTTGCATTTCTCTCTCCGCGTGCGAAACGACACGTGCGAGTAGCGCACGCTAGGATCGCACGTGGGTGCACGCGCACGTCGCACGTCACGTCACGCGGCATGTTCGGTAGCCGCGTCGCCGCTTCGATCGAACGAGCCCCGGCCAAAGAGAGTTCGACGAACTCTTTGTCTCGAAAACCGGACACAAACCGTATGTACGTACGTCGCCGTCGGCCACGCCGCAATAGCGCCTAACATACCTCTCGTGTTTCTTGCCTCTTCTGCGCAATAATGTCGCCGATGCGGTGAATCTCCCTTTCGCAAAACGACGAAACTAAATTACGAATTGTCCCTTTGCTCGCGAACGTTTATTCTCTTCGGATTGAATTTACTGGATTAAAAAATTATATGAAATCAGATAGAACCAATTATATCGTGAAATTTGACCTTCATGAAATTAATTAATTAATTAATATTAAATAACTACATTAAAATTTTTCTTACTCCTTTGCTAAGTATATATAATTTGTGCACAAATGATATTTCAACACCTATAATCTTTTTATACTTGTCCTTGATGTAATTTGGACAATGCTTAGAGAAAATTTTTTATCAACTTTTCAATCTAATTAATTAAAAATTGAAAGTCTCAATATTAAGTATTCTATTGTATTAAACAGTTGTGTAATTGTTCCATGAAATTTCATCAAAAGAGTCGACTTCGGGTTCATAAGAGGAACTGTCATTATCAGCTGATCAGTTGACATTTATATAATTTAACAATAATATTATTAATAATTGAATAATATTAATAATAATATTAATAATAATAATTTAATATAATAAATAACGAAAAATTTCGCATTATACATGAATATATCATCGAGGAAAAATTCGAATACAAATTATCCAAAGATATCGATTGTAAAAATAATTGCGTAAGAAACACGTGCGTGTACAAGTAAAATTTGCTTACGGAATGCGTTTTTTTCGGCCGCGTTTTATCCTTGCATTGTACCCCGTATGCGAAAACAATTCGACGCGTGAGTTGCGGTCGTCGGACCTCGCTTTTTAACCGCGGAGCCACTTTTTCGCGGGACCGATTTACGGCGGGACACGCGAGCGGGAATACGCGACGAACTTTTATGCCCGCGCGTTTCTTTTATGGACGCGCATGCGATGAAAAACGCGCATCTCGCAACAATGTTACAGATAGCCGACAGGAAACATAAATTCCGAACCTTCAAATCTCGAAAGCCCGGCGCGCTTCCCTCCTTTTACGGCGATAGGTCCAACTCTCCTTTGGAACTGGCAAAGAGCGACAGTCGCAATTTCGCGTGCACTTTTTATGCAACGCTTGTTCCAGTAAAACGTTCGATCTGGTGTAGCGGTGGTATCCGAAGAAAAATACATTCTTGAATTTGGATGAGATTGCTCTCTGGTTGACGAGCTGCGAAATTTAACGATCTTGTTCCTAAAAAAAGAACGCATATAATTTTACACTTGAAAATACTTTTAAATCCATCAAGTTGCATCGCTTGTTTAAAAAAAAAAGATACAGAGACCTTAATTAGTGGAATTCCAATTGAAATTTCGGATAAGTCGACGTTTCTATTCATCAATGGAATTTACTCGGAAACGATTCTCGGATGTGCCTCTGTCATCCTTCAAGATTGCAGACGGTTCGTTTCCTCCCTCATTCGCGACTCTGCACCTTCTTCTACGGCTTTCGCTCGACCGCGGCGGACCTCGGGCCATTGTTAAAAACTTTTTCGAGGTTATTACACGTAAGATATGTAAATGCGTCGCCGGGGTCGGTCCTCGACGTCGAAGGATCAGCTTCGCCGGGGCCCTTCTCTCTCGTTCTTTCGGAGAGGCCCTTCTACCTCGCTCCGCTCAGCAGGGGCGGATCTGCGAAATAATTCGCGAATCTATTCTTTTAATTTATTCAGACACATCAAATAAATTAACGCGAAAATATTTCTTAAAGATACATTCTCAACCCTTCTGTCAGTGCCTAAATTTTCACCTTACCATCGATGGATGGATCCCATCTGGGTGTTTTCGACATGTTGCGCTGTAACAATTTCTTCATACAGCAGCTGCTGGACATCAAACATTTCCTCTTTATTACTTTTAACATTTAAAGTTGCTTGGATACCCGGATACCATTCATTGACAGAAGGATTAATCCAGTAGATTCTTATTTTTTTATTTTTCCATTTACCGCTATAGATATCTGGAGAAGAATAATTATGATATCGTTATCTCTCGATATATATATATATATATGAAATAATTTGTTTTCCTCTGCAGAAATCGATTCGATCGCACGATACGTCGTCCGGGAAGGAATTTCTTTTCAGTATCCGTTCCTGCTCCTCTCCATCGCCACCGCCGCCGCCTCTGCATCGTCATCACCATCTCCCCGACTTCTCTGTAACGGATAGGCCTCACCTCCGGAACGGAACTGACTCCAGTCCGCTTTCGGTTTGGCCATCGCGAATGCCTGCGCCGAGCTCAGTAGGAGCGCAGCGTTCACGACGTGCGCTTCGCTCGAAAACGCTTCGGTCGGTTATCGTCGCCGGTCATCCTCGAACTCGTCAATCCCGACGTTCAAGTTTCCGACAGAGACCAACAGAGGAATTCGTCCATCATCCTGGTCTTACGAAAGATCTAGAAGCAAAAAGAAACATCACGGAAGGATAATTGGATAACGAATCCAGGACGGAGCGCACCGGGTCGGAAGGAATGAGTCCAAATAACTCGGTGGATCCACGAGAGAAAAGCTCAATGCTGAAGAAGAGCCTGTAAGAATCCTTTTCATCAGAGAATATTTAAAACACACTCGATGTGTCTCCTTTTAAGTATTATAAATAATTAATTTAATTAATGTGTGTGCGAATACATTATTCGATTTTTTTAAGTCTTCGACTTTGAATCAATACGAGAGGATTGTATTGCGAACCCCGAAACGGGCGACGTTAATTAGTGTTAATTGTGATAAAATTTACTATTGTCTTTAGCGAAGTTGAGAAAGAGAAATTCAATCGATCGCTTCCGTCTTGACGTGATGTCGAAGAGAGCTACCTGCTCTTTCGCACTTCTCCGTCGTGCTTTACTCCGTCCGTGCTTCAGTCTACTTACGGCTGACCCTGTTCGTAATAATTAATGGCGCTAGTCCCCACGCACCTCTCCCCTCGAATCGGTCATGCCTGGCCCCGGAGATAAGTATAGATATATAGTTGGTCCGCATCCGCGACTAATGCGTGTACACGCCAGGCGCGTTCGCGTTATTAAACAATTTCCGAGCGCAATTGAGCAGGCTCGTAATTAACGACTTTGCAATTAACGAAGTTAACGCATACAGATCGCTCGTACCTGCCTACCTTCTACATATAAGTAGTGGTAGTACGGGCGTAAGTCACGAGCAGCGACTTAATTGATCATTAACACGACGATCCATCGATCTTTTGGCTTTCCTTCTCGCTCCTTTCCCTGATCGTGACCTGGGGATATTACGTTATTCTATACAGCTTTCTCGGACGACTGGATGGGCCAGGAACATCGCGAACGGATCGCGTTAAGGGCGCGGTTATCTCGAGTTTCGTCGGGCCGAGAACAGTTGCATCTTTGATAGCCCCGATGTGCACTGATATGATATGGTTGAGAATATTCGAAAGGCTGAAGAACCACACGAGTGCATTTGACACGCGAGAACAGCGGAAAGAGATCGTAAATCATTAATGGGATCCGGCATTCCTCTGTTAATGAGAAGTTCCTTCCTCCAATAAAGCCGGAAATGCTTTTCCTAAATGTTAAGCAAATAGCGGATAAAGCATTGTACAGTTATATCGGAACTTTGCGAAGGCAGTTAATATTTTCTTAAGACATAGTTCATAAGTTGACGGGATCCAAAAGGTTAATTGGGGTGTCGGATGTCGTCTAATTGCGAGCATAATTACAGGCGCAGCCGGTGAACCCTGACAGAACCTCATAACTGCGAGGATGCGCACACGCAGAAAACGATGCGTGATATCATCCCGATGACGACGATATCAGGATTATTCGACGTACACGCACGCACGTACGAATCCACGCAAGAGATCAGAGGCGATCGCCGATGAGGCTGGGCTCGATCATCCTGTCGTGGGCCACGGCCACGATCAGCTGGCCGGGTCTGTCAAACGGCGGAAGCGTGACAGCAGCGCGAGCCCCGCGTTCTCGGGACTACGAGCTCTCGACGGAGTTCTTCCTGGTGCCGTCCGAGATCGGCCAGCATGGCCTGGCGAGCGTGGCTAGCGTCATCAGCGTGCCGGCGCCCAACCGGACGGTCACCGTCTTTAGGTCGCCGCCACCGGGGGTCAGGAAGGGCCAGGAGGTGGAGATGCGACCGACCCCGAAGTCCCTGCTGAAACAACGACCCTGGGCTCTGCCGCTCGCCGCCCTCAGCGCCGCGGCGATGCTCCTCATGGCTAGCTTCGAGGTCTTCGTGTTGTTCAAGGTGGCTCCTCTTTTCTCTCTCTTTGTTGCGTAAGGACGTTGACACCTTCTGTTTACCGAAATGTATGTATTTCTAACGGACTGCGAACCTGTGGAATTCTTTCATTCACCGGAACGGTATAATCTTCAATGTGTTGGATATATAATTGCTACCTCGTAAATGATGATTCGTGATATATCGCGCTTGATCTTAATCATTTCTCAGATTATTATCTCGGAAATTTATCAGTCTAATCTCTCATTTTAATCTGGTATTATTTACTTGAATTCTGTGCCTTCTTTTTTTTCACAAAATTTCTTTTATTCTCTTTTGTTTGAAATATTTGATTATATATCATATATAAGGTAGTCTTTTGATTTTTATCTTGCTTAATTGTGTCTTCTTTATTTCTTCGTTATTAAATCTCGACAGACTAGTCTATCTTTCAATCTATTTTATTCTCTTAATTTTATACTACATATATCTATTACGTAATTCTTTCGTGCGATTGCTGCTTTTACTATCTATTCTCTAAATTCATAATTAATTTTTCAGAAGAAGTTCTAAACCGGAGAGTAACAAGTATAATCGTTCGCTTGTTCGTTCGCTATCGTGCGATCTTAGTTTCACTTGTTCGTGTCGATTGTACGAAAATATGAATTTGAGAAAATCTGAAGAGAGAACAGCTGTTCCCCGCAGTGAAATGGAAACGTCGGCTTTTTTTTCGCTCGAACGATCGCGACCGCGGAATTAATAGAGCTCGTCGTCGACCCACTATCAGTCGTTTTCGTTCGTTAAGCTCCAATAAACAGCCAATAATTGGAATTTCGCCGAGACCTAGGCTTACAATTAATTTGGGTCCACGATCTCCCGGTTTCTTCCGGTTACATCCTCCAAATTGCATTTTCAACTTAGTCAGTTTCAAATGTGACGAAAATGAATTTCCTATTTTGAATAAATTATCCTATATTAACAGCACTTACCCTGTTTCAGGCCAGAACGACGGCGCCGAATAGACGACATTTATTTCTGGGCCAGGCGCTACTTCTGGGCCTCTTTCTCCTGGCGGGTCTTTCCGCTGCAGCTTCCCTCAGCCAAAACCCGCTATCCTGCGCCGCTTTCCGGTTAGTAGGTCTGCCTGCCGCCCTCGTGTTCGCCGCCCTGCTGGTTAAATGCGTATTCCTGCTTTCATTGAACAGCGGTGTCTATCTGCCGGCGCCTTATCAGGTAAGCGCGTCCTCGATACGAATCATCTATCATATACAGTAGATTCTAAAATCATAAATCATTTTGGAGACTAGCATAATTTTTAGATGTATAAATATAATGAAAAAAATTTACATATTTCTATGAATTTATTCCACTCATTTGTTTAATATAAATTTATAATATGAAAGAGAAATTCCCATTTTAATTAAAGGAGTAGCGAAATAATTTCAGGATGCCTAGTAATCGATAATACCTTATATGGTTAATCAAAAGTAGAGATCGAAAACGTATAAAAATGAAAATCGTAATGTGATTTCGTCTGTCTCCTTTTACGCGGAAAACTCAACAAGACCGTCCGGATGTTCATCTCGCACGGTCATTTATATATCGCGAACGGGCCTCAAACGTTTCTTCTCTCCTCTTCCGCTTTATTCTTTTTATACCTCGCGTTGCGTCATCGCGCCGACGATTAATTATGCGTGTGCGAAAAAATCACGAAGGCAATTATCGCGGCGTTGTGTTGGCGCATACGCTGAATGACAGGTGTGGCACTTCTCGCCCTGCGGAGACCTTCTTCCGGAGGAACATCCATTTTTCACGTTCGACGTGCTCCAATCGGCATGACGATCTCAGTGGATCATTTATATACGATCGCAGGAGAATCTTGTTTTTTTTTCCAAGGCATTAAAAACGCGCGAAATCGGAACGATTCGTCCACCACGAAGCATAATTATACTCTTGTAATTAAGAAGGCTATTATCATTTACATGTTTGGTTAGACGAAAGCGGTTGATACACGAACGACATTAATAGGAATTTAATTAACGAGATTTAACAGAGATCAGAGACTTTAATTATATCGCGCCATCGTTTCACGTTTTCGAGATAAAGGCTAAACAATCTGGCATGTCTTGTAGAAGAATAAAAACTTGGTTCCCAGTGTTTTTATAGTCTTTATCTCGTCCACGTTAATCGAGAAAAAATCCCATTCCATTCCACGTCCACGCTGTCACCATCGGACGTTCACCTTTAATTAAAGAACGCCGATCGACGCAGGGTGGACGGCTGGATGCGTGAATCTTGTAGAAAGGAAGTAATCGTACACACGAAGCTTTTTCTTGTCTCGGTTCTGCTGCTGCAGGCGCTGGTGCTGGTGTTCGCAGTGTTGGTGCAGGTGGCCATTGTCGGGCAATGGTTTTACGGCGAACCACCTGCGGTGATCCAGGTGCAGCAGCAGCAAGCTGCCGGCCAAAGCTCGTCGGCGTCCACCTCCTGCAAGACTCCGCTCGGACAGATAGTGGCTTCCCTCGGGTAAACTTATTATCCTACATAATATTTAATTATTGTATTAGTATTTTTTTAATTACTATCTTCTTACAGCTATACATGATTTTTATAGCCGTTGACATTTTCAACTAAATGAGATTCGTCCTTTCCACAGTTGTTAACTAAATTCCAGGTACCCCGGAGCGCTGCTGGTGGCGGTGACTTGTCTGGCAATCCGAGCGCGCGGTGTCCGGGACAACAACCGGGAGGCGGCCTTCATCGGTCTGGCGGTCGGCCTCTCGCTGCCGATTTGGGTCTCCAGCGGGATCGGTTCGCTCGCTGCCGGCAGCGAGGACGACCGAGAGGCCTGGCTGGCCTACGGTCTCTTGGCCACGTCGCTCTTCGTCTTCCTCACCATGTTCCTGCCCAAGGGTCGTCAGCTGGCCGCCCTGGGTCGCGAGGGTCCCGCAGCTGTCATTCGCGATCGCGACGACGCCCTTAGTTCCCTTCCCGGCAGCGGCTACTCGCCCTCCTTCTTTCACTTCAAACCTGCGGAGGCGTCTCTGAAGAGGAAGCTTCATTATCATAGTGCGGGTGAGTCGGCGGACTCATTTTCAAAAACGCGAGCAACGAAAATGAAAGTCGTTTATATATGTATATAAAAAAAAGAGATCGAAGAGACGCGATGTAAAACAGATATCAGCTTGGTAGCAGCTCTCTTTCTTTTTCTCTCTTTTTTACCAAATCCGAGTTTCTCTTAACGTGCACGCACCGTGCGATTACGTTTCTCGGAGCTCTCAGCGATTGTCGTTCCGATTCGTTTGCTCGATACACCGCGGGAAAAGATCTTCGGTTTCTCACTAAACGCGTGAACAACGTAATCCGTAGCCGAATAACAGAAATGCGGTCACGACCGACGAAATCGGCGGCGCGTAAAACGTGGAATAAAAGAGCGAACGAGAAAGTAAATAAACGCGCGTATAGTTTGCGTCGCGTTTAAAAATGTGTGTACATTCACGATTATACACCTATAATCGTATAATTGCGCTTGTTACTCGAGGATGAGGTTGCAAACAGTATCGCTTAACTCTGGAGTGCAGAGATCATCCTTTTGTAAATCGCAAATATACAGATGGTGAACTAAAATCGATCACGATCGACCGGTTGCAATCGGTTAAAACGACGTGTTCCGAAATGAACGGTTACAGTAGTAATCCCGTTTTCCCCCACCGAGATTACCATAACGTGGAAACTTCTAATTACAGATCGAGTCGCACTGGTCTCGTCCGGGATACCCGGATGCAGCGCCTGCAGGCACGGAGGAAGTCCTATATACTCGGACGGTAAGCCATCATTATTTATTTTCAGAAATCAGTCGGGCCCAATTATTATTACGTGCCGTATGCAAAATTACTCTGTGTGTCGTATGCCGACCTCGTCGTAGGTACTTGCATCCTTTCCTTGGAACGGTTACGCTACGTCGATGTTTCCTCGCGTTATGCAAAGAATAGACTCCAACAAAAAAAGCGTATCAGTTTGTTCTGATCAAGATATTAATCAATTGATCTAATTGGTATAATACAATGTAGGTGTATATATACAAGGTATCCCAAAGTTGAACTTTGAAATGAAACTTTGTTAATGTCTTACAGTTGGAAATAAAAAAATATTACATTGGTTCGAAAATGCTGCTGGTTAGACAATTATGACTCATTGTATGTGATACATAATAATGTAAAAAAAGCTGTAATTATCCTGACTATATTTTTTATTATAGCTTGCTTTTTTTATCCGTGAAGAGCTATGAAAGCGAAAGTGTATCTTAGAGGCAATTTGACGGTAAGAACTCGTTGAAAAATTAAATTCGCATTCATTGAGCTAATTGTAAATCAGAGATATAAAATTTATACAGTGTTTATGTTGATAACGAAAGACAGCATTTAAAAAATTAAACGTGTTTTCTTTTTTAATGTTATAATAAAATGTGGTAATAAAATATTTTCAAACTCACGAATTCACATCCATAATATAACTTTTTTGTCTTGTTTCTATTTCTATAGAATATACTGGCAAAATTTGAGCGTTCAACTTTGGGATACTCCATATACGTATATGTATACTATTTAAATATTTGACTTATTTTACTCATTTTGATTGCATTATACGACATGCTAAAGTTCCGTTAGAAGTAGCTAATCTTGCATTAAAGTTTCATCAGTTTTTTTGTCTAATTAAAAAACTGCGGATATCTATATTTTCGCATCAACTACTCGCGCAGACCGTCTCGAGCGAAGCATTCGTGTATCATTCGCGCAAAATCTCGACACTTCCTGCCCTGCCCGCGCATTTCCTGACCCGAAACTTTTCCTCCGTCACGCTGACGCCCTCGGCGACCTTCACCTCGAGGTGCGAACGAAAGAGAGAAGAGGAGAGAGAGAAAAGAGGAGAGGGAGAAAGTCGCGAGAGGCGGAGGTCAGCATCGTTACACGCAGGATGCTTGTTGGAAAAGGAAGAGGAAAGGGAGAACATAAATCCCGTTAGAGAGATAGAGAGAGAGAGATTGGATCCACGGTCTCTCGTGAAACGAGACCCAACTCGGGGTGACAATGATCTACGCACTTCTTGAAGAGGAATAAAATACATCCGCGCGCGGACTCTTCGTAGGTCGATATCTCGCGGAAAGCCTCGGGGCCTTCTTCATCTTCTCCGCGTGTCCGAGAGCCGCGAGATTCTAGATATATTTTCTTTTAGAGAGAACACACATTGTAAACGGGAGTTTCACACTTTCTAGAGACGCATAATGGAAAAGCGCGCGCATATATACGTAAACGAGATTTCTAGATCCTATTCAGCTCTAGTCGAAGGGAACGCGTCGTTGTAACGAGGTCGCGTTATGTTTGTTCGTTGCTATAATAATAACGCGTAAGAAAAATAAAACCAAAATAATGAGTATATATAAAAATAAGAAAAGATCTTCTATATAGGAACCACGATATTTATCGTCCAGCTTAATGGTCCAGTCGATACGAGCCACGATCGTTTCTCGAACGCACATACGACTACGTAGACCGTAGCTCGTAAATCATCAGTCGGATGACTTTCACCCACGCGATACGCATTTTACGTTAAAGACAGGCGCGCGTATCCGTTCAACGAGCGCGACGCTGTTTTGTTTTTAGCGAAATTCGCGTCGGAATCTCTTCGAGAAATCGTCAAACTTTCGCCTAGGAATTCGTTAACATGGTGTATATTCCGCTTCTGGTAAAAAAATTTGCCGACTCGTATATAATGTAATATATTATAACGATATCGTCGATACGACCAGGCCTCACCCTGCGCGACGACACGTTTCTTTACGGTAAAGCTCATTATTACGTGCAAGGCGTGAAATACGCAAGGTATTACGATGCAAAGGTCGCTAGCCTCCTCGGGCACAAGGGAACAACTCGCTCGTTCACGACGCTCATTACAGGCGAAAAGGCACGACATCTCGCTGACAAGCGGTTTCCTTTACATTGTCATCGGTTCGTGGCGCATGCATGCAATGGACGAGCGTGCGAGGAATAAACGACGTAAGAAAGTGTAATATCCAGCAAACCGGGCGGGATCGCGAGAAAAGTAAATTAAAAAGATAATTGAACGGAAAAAGAAACGCGCCCCGATGGAATTTACGCGCGTACAACGTGTTTCTCCGCGAGGAAGATATACATATATATAGTAATCGTCGAAAGTCGAATTTATAATTAGCTATTTAGGAGGCGAGAACGTAATCGTCTTGTAACGACAGCTGCGAGAGCCGCGAGACCTACTTTACGCCGACGATTTAAATTACAGGTCGTGTTTAGAGCGCACGGCGTAACGAGGGCTCCGTCCCGGTTTCGCGCCACGCGATTTCGACGGATATTTATATCTCTATCAATATCGTGATTTATATTGCAATTTATTATCGAGACTGGAAAATACACATGTATATACGTTCTCCAAACACGTGGAAAGTTACAACCGGATACGCGCTCCTCTGATCCGATACTGGTTAATAATTCGCTTCCGGGGGAACCGAGTGAATCGGGACGATGGGCGGTTTGTTCCAGTTGTCTGATCGATTCCAATTTTTTTTTTGTTATAGAATGATTATTTTACACGCAAATATCCTGCTTACAGATGTGCATGGACCGATGGAGACGTTCGTTTTGCCACCTGGTATGTACTTGAGGCCGGAGGATGCCGGAAATCTCTACACGACCTTGTCGGCCAATCCCAATGTGTTCTTCCAGAGGGCAGCTCATCCCGGAATGATGTACTGATTAGCCAGAATCTTTTATTATTGATGACAATAAGTCTCGCTGTTTGTAGATGTTGCGATGTGACAAACGATCATGTTTTCTCATTGCTCTGTAAATAATTCATTACAATATGTCATTATATAATTTGAGCGTCTCAAGAGAGAAAGAAAAGAAATCTCGAAGCAATAAATCTTTTGTAAAAGTTTTTGTAACACTGATGATTCGCGAGAATGAGCGTATATTGTACATATATGCTATTCATCACGAACAATGAGTGAGTCTAATAATATTGTAAATCATTGAATTGGAAGTGCATGCGTTGCTTCCAAACTAATGTAATAAACGTATGATACATTTTTTATACAAGCTTTACCTTGATATAATTTTCTGACATATTTCGAAAAATGTCCTATCAACTTTTTTAATCTAATTAGCTAAAAATTGAAAGCTTCAATATTAAATATTCTGTAATATTACACAATTCTGTAATTATTCCAAGCATGAAATTTCGTTAAAAGAATCGATTTTGCATTCGTAAGACGAACTGTCATAATCAGCTGATTGATATTAACCGCGATTAATATCTCTGCGCGACACAAGAGAGTTTTAAAAGTATATATTCAGAAAATCAATATCAAAGAAAATTTTGAAAAGTATAATACATATACTAATCATTAATGTTATCCTGCATTCGATCGCAATCGATCGCACGTGCGACTGCAACACGTGCATAATGACAGGTACGCGCGTGACGTCACGCGATAACGTCGGCGCGTGTTGGAGGGGATTTATCTTCCCCCCACCAATGCCACTGCACTTGTCAACAATATGGTATCGTAATAGAAAGACCGCAGTGTCCGTCGTACTAGATCGAACGTCCAGATGTTGCTCGCAAACGCGACGCGTATTTCGTCGAACGGCAGTTTCCTCGCGGCCAACATTGCCGGGTGAAAGGTAGGCAGATGTGAATACTCGGGAGCACTTGACCACTACGTCGCGCGCTCGTTTCTAACCTGACGTACGATGAGCTGTCATTTAGCACTGTGCGGAGTCAGCGCGACATAATTCGCCTTCTCTGCGCAAAAAGAATTACGTAAATTTATCGTCAAACGTGAATTCTTTCTCCGGTAGAAATGGCAGGTCCTGTGGAACAGCTGAGGTAAGTGGACCAATTCAGTTGGAAATACATATCACAGTTTTACTTGTAGATTATAATATCCTGTAAAGGATAAAGACAATGTATTTTTAATCGCGATGTAATTAATATCTTTTTTTTTTTTTCATGCTTCAAAGAATTTATTTCATTACTTACAATGTGGCCACCAAGTTTCCCGATCCTGATCAAGACCTTCACCAGCTTTTGGGCATTGAATCTTGCAGCGAGTCAAACCTATGGCCAGATTTATACTTTATTGGGTATATTTTATAGTATATATATTTTCCTCAATGTAATGATTTAATTCTAATGAAGCATATATTTTTTCAGATTTCAGGAAGTTAAATCACAGCCACAAAATATAGTGTTGGATTATATATTACTTGAAGATCCCTGGACCAGGGCCTTCAGGTACGAATCCATTAAATTAACTTGTTATGTAAATTCATTCATAAGAGATGGAAATTAATTCCGGATATATTTTTCAGAGATGTACTAAAGAAGTATGATTATGTAAAAATACGTTCGCAACGATTGCAGGGTCTTGTTTTAAATGCTTTCTGTCTAAGAAAACATTTAACACAATTGAGATTAATAGAAATTCAATACACGAAGACAGGTTTTGGTGGCATGTGGGTAAGAGAGCAATGTACCAATAGAATTCTCTATTTTATTAACAATATTGTTTTGTTTTAGGGAAACAAGGGTGCAGTAAGCATAAGAATGAATGCCTATGGAGTCAGCATTTGTGTTGTAAATACACATTTAACTCCCCATGATCATTTGTTGGCCGATAGAATATCAGATTACAATACTATAATAACAGATCATACTTTTACTGCTCCAGATACATCAAAAATATTATACCATGAGTATATTTCTCTACTTTATGTTATGCAAATAGAATTATCTAACTACATAACTCTCAATAATCATGGTAATGTATGTTTTTCATTAGCTACATATTTTGGATTGGCGATTTAAATTTTCGGCTCAATGGAGAAGAAACTGCTGCTGAAATAGACTTACTTGTAAAGAAGGAACAACTTAAAGGGCTTCTTAAAAAAGATCAATTGAAGATGGTAATGGAAGACCGTCAAGCTTTTGCAGAGTTAAATGAAAGCATCATCACATTTCCGCCTACTTATAAATATGAATTCGAATCCCAGGAATTTGATCTCAAGTAAGTTGTACATCTGTAAAAAGAAATAACAATTTGTTTAGTATACAAATTTATATTCCATATAATGTATGATTAATTTTTTAATATGTTTCATAATTATTTATCACACAGACGCAGACCATCTTGGACTGATAGAATTTTATACAAAGTAAATGCAATAGATATATACAACGATGTAGAACTTAACGCAAAGCAGCATACTTACAAGAGCCATCCTAACTACAGTGTCTCTGATCACAAACCTGTAACTGGAGAATTCGAAATCACGGTAAAAAGAGTCTTTTATATATTTCTTTGATTTTTTAACTAAATATAAAACGAATGAAAAAAATCTTTAGGTCAGACCTAATGTAAAAGAGTACATTGTGGAATTCCAAGAATGTACAATGGAAGAAAATTTTATATCATACAAACTACAGAGAGATTTTACACCAAGCAATGGGGACTGGATAGGTATCTTCCCTAACGAATTCTCCAGTTTAGATGATTACATCATTTACGAATATGTTAGCCGCGGTAAGTCCTACATTCCATTATATTCTAATTCTATCTTCCAATATTCGCTGTTAAATGTTTAATTAAAAAAAATTTTTTAATATCTGCTATCTAGGTAAACCGACGTCAACTCCTAGTGAGTCTCACGCGAACACGGAACGAATATTCTTCAATGACACAGCACTTCGTTCGTCGGAAATGTATTGTCTGGTTTATGTAGCACAACGAGGAGAATTTATCGAAGTTTTGGGTGTTAGTTCAGGATTTTCAGGTCGTCGCAACTCGATCGAGCCATGCGCTTTATCGTTCACGTAAATAATTTATAGCGAGGAATCGGTATACTTGCAGATTTATACATATGTACGTGAACACCAATCCTTTCGCCGAGAGATCAAATAGCTGTACAATTTTTTACCGCAGATAGATGAAAATATTTTCTTAGCTTGACTTTTTATTACAGTTCATTAACTACCACAATCTTTCCCAGAAATTGTGATAATGTTTTAGAATAGAGTCGGTTCACTATTTTATAAGTTGCGAGTAGGAAATTTAAGTATGTCAAGAAATATGGCCTTTAATCACAGGGTGCTTGTAACACAATATAGTAAGTTGAAATACATTTATAAAGCATCGCGAAAGAAACACCGATGCTTTGCACATAGGATGTCAAACGTTACTTTCGGTACCTGGTCTTCGCACTCTCAGGCTTAGAGTGCGACATAATAGTCGTACGCTTTAGAGTTTGCAGTGACTTCACTGCCACGAGTTTTTCTGCACGCAGATCTTTCTCGGTTCATTAACGCGTGCTAAAATTAAAGAAAATAAAGATTATGTTATACAATTTTTTTCTTGTCACCCGAGCGTTAATGGGTTAACTAGTGCGTACGAGCATGTTCATGTGGCATATCATTGTTCCCTTAGGTAGTAATTTTCAGTGAAAATTTGAATTATGGCGGCTCGTACTGCTCATCGTGTAGTAAACCTATGTTATTTTATTTTTTATAGCGCCGCACTGGTGCAATTTTAAATATATATATTATATATATTCTATGGTTTTCAAAAGGGATGCAAATAAAGGATATTAGTATTTTCTATTCGCCTCGACTCATTTACCTTACTATTTCTGTCATTACGCGTATGATTTATTCAATAAATTAATACTCGCTAGTGACAATAAATAATATGCGAGTTAAATGGAAAAAAGCAATAATGCGATACCACAAACAATGTTGTATAAATTTACATTCCACCAGAATTTAATGCGATACGTCGATCGAATTAACGATTGCATATAAACAAGCGCATTTCATGTGCCATATTCAATGGAATGTCTTACAAACGAATTTGAACATAACTTATCGAGAACACGATGACAGACGCATGTCAACGTATCGTGTCAAATTTGATGTGACATGTAAGTCAGCGATGCTTAAGTACAAATATAAATAATATATTTTGTCGACGTAAACATTTGCTTGCGGCGTAAATTATAAAATCATAAGTATCACATATAATGATAATAATATTATGCCTAACAATACATAATTATTGTTTACGTATATGCTTTTATTTTAATTAACGTGATCAATTTACGCTTATAATTACGCGTACATTTGAGATCCTTATCGTTTTGTCAAGTAAATTAAGTCATTTTTTTGTCATATATTTATTTTCCCACGTTGTATAACTAGCGCATAAGAGTCATATATCGTGGAAAAATATATTATATAAGACAGACATTACTTGCAATTTCAGTTTGATACAATGTTGCAGGTAAGCTGCAATACCCATACAAAGTCATGTAGCATATTCTCACTATGCGTTTGCATTTTTGCAAAAAAACAACATATTTTATGTATAGATTATTTTATATTTTTAATTATAGATATTGTATATTAAAAAGCGACTAGAGCTATTACTTATCGAACATACGCGGACTCATTTAAGTATAAATAATCTCCTTCGCGAAAGTTTCACACGTCGGGGATTTCGCGACATAGGTGGGTTTCGAATGGCATGTTCATAAAATCGAAGAATCACATCAATAACACAGTGATATTTCACGTCTCTGCGAACGTCATCGATCGAGAAGGTCGTTCTATTCCGCCACTATATAACAAAGTTTTAAAATAACTTAGATCTCTCACGTTGCGAAGCCGTATATACATTCGAGGTCCCTCCTTCCACCGGGCCATTATCAGTTTATCGATCGTTTCGTCAAGTTCACGGTCGACATTTGTACTTAGGACGCACGCGTTAAATGCATCATACTTTCACGTCTAAAGATTAATTTTTTTGTCGTGATAATTTATATATCATGGAACGATAGTCTGTCTAGGTAAGGAATCGCCACCGTTCATCACAGGCAGCAATGCCAAGTCCATACTTCCGACATTTGGTTCCGTGCTATGAATTCCCCGTAACTTTTGTATTCGATGCCAAACGAAATCCCTGGCTGGCTTCCTCAGAACGAACAGGCCGAAAATGAGAACGCCCTGAAGAGCGTTCACTAGATCGAACGCCGACCAGTCCAGCGGACCAGCCCACCAAGAGACCAATTCCATCAACCAATTGAGACCCATCAGGAAGAAGAGCACCACGCAGACGAGGAAGGTCCGTTTGAGTCTGCGAAAGAGCCTCTGATCTTCCCGATCGGAATGCTGATTCCTCGCCAAGCGTCTCAACACAAGCTCCTGCTGATAGCGGCTGATTTTGACAGCCGTGATTATGAAGAGGGTCATATTCGCCAGCAGAAGAAGACCGATCGGGACGTAAAAGTATGGCATGGCTTCGGCGTCGGCTGTGGAAGGAGCGATAATAATTAATATGCTGATTAATTTATCTTGGATATTGATTGAAGATAAGAAGCTTGAAAGTTACAATGATGGAATTTATCTCTTGGATGAGATTGTATGTTATTTATTTTATTTGTTCATGTGCATATTTATTTTATGGTAAGACATTATATTTGCTAAAAGCTTTATTTACGTGTGCCTGGATGACGCAAATTCGATGAGATGCGATATCTGTAAATGGACTCACATTTGAACCAGCAGCTATCGCTACCAAAAGCAGGCTTGACGTAGGTCATGGGTACTGTGGGACTGAGCTGCATCGCTATCGAGACGAGAATGAGGATCGCCGACGCGCCCCAGGCCCATATCGAGTAATAGAAGAAGAGCGTTTTGGACTGAATCTTTCTGTACGCGCGATGGTTCACGTGATAATGTACTAATGACCACGTTTCGATGCACATCACGTTCAGCCAGAAAAAACAGGCCACGAACGAGAACTGGATGACGAACGCTGAAAACAATTCCGGTCATATGGTCTCTTAATTAACTCTGTTATTCATGTTCTAAAGAGCGAACCGTGAGAATAATAATATTCTCAAAGTTATATAACGTCCTCCAAAAGTGTGACAGTCTAAAAAATTTAATATTTAAATTACAAGAAATTATTCGAATTTAATAGTCTTTAATTTTTAGATTTTTATTAAAGTAAATTGAAAAATTGCAAATTGAAAATTGAATGTTCAGCGCTAATCGCAGAAAATGCAAATTTTCTCATTACAGTCTCAAGAGTGATATTTTTTTTCTAGATTTCCTAGTTATGATATAACATTTTCATGTAGCAATGTCACACAGTTATACACGTTTTCCTTGTTGGATAATTAATTATATACCCTACCTATGCTAACGCAGACCTCAGGCGTCAATCGCGCGCTCGCGAGTTGCGTAATGGCCAAAGTGCTAAAGGCCACCGCCAAGCAGCCGCAATAGTGGCAAAGGGCTTTCCCGTGGACGTCCCTCAACCTTGGAGTTATTACGTACGCCGCAATGGTAAGAATGAAAAAAGGGACCGAGATCAACAGCCCACAAGCGTAAATGATCACCCGTATATCCGGAATAACTGCAATCGTTACATATGTTTTATTAAGAGATTTCATTAACAAGTCTTTTAAATAAAATTATACATTAATTGTCTACCGAGAATTGTAATACCAAAAGAATTTTTTTTACACTGAAAAAAATTTGGTTATATTTCGACGAATCAGATTTGTTGTACAAACAAGATGCTTGATGCATTAAAAGGAGTTTTGGCCAATTTAACCAGAAAAATGCTGGTTCGTCGAAATATGATCAAACATTTTTTTTCAGTGTAGAATTTGCCCTGAAAAGAATTTTATAAGAGTTTTTCTCATTAATATTTACTACAATAAAAAATATTAATATATGTATATAGTCAAATTAATCGAAAGATCAGAGATAAAGAATCAGAGAAACTCAAATAAAATTCTTCCAATACTATGTTGTCTCATAATCATTATCATTATTTTCAGGATAAATTCTAAGAGAAAATTTTCTCTGTGTATGTATATTATATGCAATTATAAAAAAATAAATGTCTTTACTATATTAATATCTATCACAATAACATATAAAACATGTTCGATTAATTTTACTATAAAATTTACTAATAAAAATTACTATGTAGATTATTAATATTTTTTATTGTGATAAATACTTATTAATTAGATAAGTTCTTATAAAATTCTAAGAGAAAATTCTCTCTGTGTATACGTTTCAAATGTTATGCTTATGCTAGATTTTTTATACAAGTGATTCACGCAAATGAATGCAAAGTATTTTTTCAAGTTAACATTCCAGAAGAAGACTTTTTTTAAGGAAAAAATTATCAACAATAATTCAATCTTTGCACAAAGATACCTAAAATTTTGATAAGATGCAAAAAGAAAAATTTAGGAGAATTTTTTTCTGTTATATCGTTTCATTTCGATCGATTACATACCTTTTGGAAAACAAACGAGCACCCTAAGTTTCCATTCGGGCACAACCTCCATACAATAGTCTTTACCAGGCATAAGCATAATCGGTGCATGACCGATTTTTGGCGCAAAGATGGAACCATTCATCAGTAAATGATAGCTATCCTCGTCGTCTTCGCTGCCTTCTTTCGGTTCTAGCATGTACCTGAAAAAAATTTCTCATGTTCAAATACGTAGGTAAAAATACGCGCAAATATTCGAGAGTTGACTGAAGATACGTGTACAAGTTGAATATTCAAAAGTAAATAAAGCCATTATCGGTATATCATGCGAGATTTTTCCGGATCTTTGAGAACGGGTTTCCGTAATCTATGAGAAACGAGTTTCCGTAATCTATGAGAAACGAGTTATATTACGCCGGTGGAGATAATTGCCGTGTCCAAGAACATTCATCAAGGAAATTACAATAATATTGTACTACTTCACGAGTAGAGAAGACTGAAGCAGTATTTTTCACACAAGATAATTGTATGTTGCTGCTCGATATCTTGTGTGTCTGCGTATTCTCTATATTTCATAAAAATCCAGAGCTATTAAATCAATTAATGTTATTAATGTATTATATTTACATTGTCAATCGTATGATAGAAAACGAACGGATTTCTGCGATAAACTATATATTGAAAAAAAAATTAGTCAACTTGACTAAACCTTTCAACTAAATATTATTTTGTTAATTGAACGTATAAAAGTATGTAAATTAAATATGATATATTAAATCTAACACAATGTATATTTAACTTAAATACTAATATATGTTCAATTGACAAAGTAATTTAATTGAAAGGTTTATCGTTATCTGGATTCGCAAATCATAACTTTTGTGACGCGAATATACAAAAATTAATTACATTTTATGGATAAGATTTTTTTAATCAATAGTTCGAGACAATACATTGTCTTCTGTCATAATTCATCCAGCGAGATTAAATGTCACTTTATGATTTCATCTCCGCCGATTATCGCGATACGATAAATAACTTTTTTTATTGGGGAAAAATGAATTATATATGTTATCTGTCGTATGGAGGCGACAATGAGTGCATCCATCGATCTTAACAATCCGTAAATTACTTTCAATATGATACACAATTGCTCCGATGTCTCACAAGTCTCGTAAGTATCTTAGGAATGCAATATCGAGAATGCAGAGTTATCAGTATCGATACAATACTTTTCTAGATTTACTTTCTTTGAGAAAAATTCATTACAAATAATATTTTCATCTTATGTGATTTCCGCGATAATTATACGTTATCATTCATAACTTGCAATTGTCGCACGACGTAGAAATAATTCGTCGAAATTATCCTTCATTATATTTCTTTATATTTAAATTTAACACACGATCGATAAATTACACTGAAAACTCACCAAGTTAATCGTTTCGCTACGACACGAATTAAAATGGAGTCTTATCGTAGGATGACCAACTGGCGTTCCGATCTATTGATAAGGACGTATCGATAGTACGACGTCTCTACGCATTTTATATTATATAACGAGTGGTCTTAAAAAAAAAAAATTTTGTAACACGGCTCGATAGATCTGATTACACACTCATTATCAGCTATTTATAAGCAATTCGACGTAATTTCTCGACACGTACTTTTTACGACAGGGACTTCCAATGATAGCGACGAATTCCCCAAATTTGTCTCCAGGTACAAACACCCCGGTGTTATTAAAGTGACTGAATAAAGGCGAAAAATGCATCGTCGAGTTGGTGGAGGGAACGCAAACTGTATGGTTCCCATCTCTTACGAGGACTTCATTTACGGGGCAACATTTTCCCACCAACGGCATCCTCATCACCAGCTCTCTGTATTCATCCGGTATTAAAGTGTTGTTTCGCTAAAAAAAAAAAACAAAAACGTTATTTTTCGCTAGAGTCATCGATTTGCAAGCGATGAATATTTTAACACATTTTAACATTTCGAAAATTCGGGGAAGCACGAACAACTTGAGAGGTGCAGCATCATGAATATGAATTAATGCAACAATGACGTTATAATGCACATAACGTTGAAAACAAATTATTTATGAATGAAAACTGGTTTGAGAGATTCAGAGATGGAGATGATATCTCTCGAAAATATTTTAAATTATTTTTTACAGCGGATCTTTTATAAAATTGTTCTTTTTTTCGAATAAATTATATTGCGATGGTCAGGTATACAATTTTAATTTATACATCGCAATTCATAAATAAAAAATTAATCACAGATTTTTAAATAGTGTTCGCGTTGATCAAGATTCGTACAAATATTTTTTCACGCTAGATATTCCATTCTTCAATCTATCACGAAATCTCTTACACAAAATCTTACGGATCGGAGAAGATCACAAATCAGATATCTTCGTAAAACACTCTTTCGATCGAACACTCTTTTATCTGGATAGTATCGAGAAACAAATATCGACAGCGGTTGTTAGACTAAATATAATTCTGGGAGATGGGAATAGCAGAAAGCTCAGACAAATAAATAAATATAAGACTTAAATTGACGAAAGTTGTGCTTACCAATGGAATTCCATGTATAATCGGCGATACGTCACTCGCGACAGACATCGCCGATAAATATGCGAAAAGGACGCAGATGCAAATGAGACGCATCCTGGATAATAATTATTATGCCTTGTCGAAGTGTCTATAAAATCTTGGAATTTCTGCGCGTTGTTGAGATTTGTTAGATTGCGATTCGTATCGCGTCAACTTTCGTTAATCGATATCACGTATCGAGCGTACACCTTGTAAACATAATCGAACTTTGGAGTTTTCACACGACGGACTTGACTTAAATGAGACTGGCGAACCGACTTTGTCCACGATAGATTAGATCGCGTTTTCTGATGACATTTCGCCAAGAATCAGAGGCGCTTACGTTCCTCGTCTCTTTCGTCACTTATCGATATCGCATTATTAGATCTCTTGCACATTTATCTCGTCACGCCCTTGCTTGCACTCGTCGATAAGTCTCCTGGTAATCGCTTAATCGCCGTGGGTTTCAATTAAACATCTCAATATATCCGCTTTCTGATCGGCTCCGTGAATTAGCCAGAGGAACGTTTTAATCCGAAGCCCTCGTGAATTATAGAATCGAGATTAGCGATCAACGATCTTCATTGATCACTCGCTACCTTTATCGTGCTTCTTTTTCTTTCCCGCCAATATTTCTCTACGCACGACTGCACGCGTGATCCATCAATCACGTTTGGTGTCAGGGTATATTAAGTCATTTGGAAATCCCTGTCGAGAAACCTCCAAAAAAACCTGCAGTGTTAAGATTAAAAAATTATTATCAAATTTAGAATGTTAGAACACTGAAAAAAAATATTAAATTCGAATAAATATTTATTTCAATAGCGCCAATAAATCATTTATTTGAAACTAATAATATTAATTTGACGTAAAAAATATATTTATTTGATATAAAAGAATCCTTTTCAGAACAAAGAAATATATATTTATTTGTTTCAAATAAATGATTTATTTTTATTAAACGGTATTGAAATAAATATTTATTAATTTAATCAAATTTTTTCATAGTGAACGAATCGATCGGATTTCTTTGTGAGACAATATCGCATCTATACTGCGAAATATTGACTTTCGAAGGACCGACCTCGAAAACTCGATGTCTCATCTGCATATATTATTGCGAAGAAATCCGGATCGAATCAAGGCAAAAATCTCGAAATCCCGAGGCAAACAGGACGACGTCACTTTCAAAAATCGGCGAGTTTAATATGTATTTCGTCTATCGATATAAATACAAGCCCGATGATGATGATGAATGGTCGTTGACCTATAATTCCCGCTATCTCATTTTGCTCGAGAAGCGAATCGTAAAGAACAACGAGCAGCGGACCTTATCGTAATCCTGACGACGAGACGTAGCTCCCGGTTATTAACTCACATTCTCTATTATATATCCTTCTTTTCCCTACTCCAAGTTTGGAAAGTGACGTCGTCGTATTCTCGCGAACAAACGAGGAGGCGAACTTACGAGAAACTTTTTGACGATTTTTTTCGCGATTTTATGGCGCGAAGAGGAGACTTTGACTTTGACTTTAATAAGTTATTCAACAACATGGATTATCAATTATCAAGGTTCCTCGCGACGTTCATCTTAACGATCCAAACTCCAACTTTGCTCGTTAAATCCTCAACAAAACGGCGAGTATATAATTTTCACCAGAAAACACGTTACTCTCTCGAGATCGGCACTTTATCTTCGGATTATCGTTAAAAAAATCTTTCACACGTGGGAGATTTTTTGTTCCCCGGCCACTTCAACACACAGGTATAATAATCCAAGGATCGGCGATCGATAGGGGATCCACGCGACTCGCGGCTCACCGATCTCGAAGTCCGAGAAGTAACTGGTCGGACGTCGCGATCCGCTCGTGCCTTTATCGAATGAGAGAGCGATCTTTCGCGCCTCGCGGCGATGCACACACTCTGACGTACGTGCCGATGACTGAACTCGACGTGTATGTACGTGTGTACGTGATATACCGAAAGTATTTCGCATCCGCGCGCGCGACCTTATCAATCGTCCAAGATATTTGCTCCGATCTCCGACCGATTCCCGCTAATAAGCTCTATATCGCGCCCAATCTGTCACATCTGTCATTCTCGGAATAACCCCGGTCCCTTATAGAGAAGACCTTGACTAATTTTTAGCGGAACGTTGTTTAAGCTTCGAGACTGCGACCACCTTAGATTCATGAATTTATTGACTCTTTACAGGGGTTTCAATTTATACATCGATTTTTTGCAGATCCATATACTCCATAAAATACTCGATACGCAATATACTAAACATTATAAAATATACTCAATATATAATATATATAAAATAAAAGAAAATATATAAAAGAATGTACAAAAAAATATAGAAAAAATATACAGAAAATATACAAAAATATACAATGAAAGCGAGCTTTATAAAGATCTCGTAAAATGCGCGCCACTAATTAGCGTAAATTAAATCGATCCTGTTAATTTAATTACGCAGGTAAGGTTGCGCGCGTAAAATGTTAGGTATATCAATGTTTGTGAAAGGTGTCACGCGTGATTCACGTGAGTCATCCATCGCGCATTCATTGAAAATCATTTCGTAGTATTAGCAGGAATAGTCGAACACGACGTGGGAGACGTCTCGCTACTATTTTATGTTTTATGTATAAAATTCCCAGTCCTCTTGTGACACGGAGAGACGTCAACGCGAATCGATTCGGACCTTCTGTCCGGAAAATCTATCCTTATCATTCGAAAATCTGACGCAACGTTTACACTTTTTATGATAACGCAAACACTTGAACGTTATTACCGTATTATTGCATTACACCATTACATCGCGAGATTGAGAGATGCTAATGCAAATATTGTTTGGGAAAAAAAATTGTAAGAATTTTTTTCTGTGTATTCAGTGAGAGATAAAAACCATTTTCATATATTATCACGAAGACGGAATTTCCTCTGCAAGTTTGTCGAGTTATTTTTATTCAGTTGCGATTTTTATATTTTTTATTTCAATGCGCACGAAACAGGAGGAAATAATCAAGCAAATAATTATGAAGCAATTTCCGTATATAATACAACCTTATGAATAGGAAATGACGTTCGTTACAATTATTGCTCACGCATTCGCCACGTCATTTACGTCATTGCTACCTCAACTCTTCGGGGAACCTTATTGATACGGATTGCTATTTGATCGAATAATTCGATTGGCACGCAGCGGGATGTAACAGACGAAATGTAAATGAAGGCTTGGCTACGTTAGTCTGGTGCAAAATATTGCAGCTAGGTATAAAATTAAACCGAGTCTCTATTTCGGTCGGTTTGTGCGATGCAAACGACAATAATAACTGGCATATTTAACGTATGCGGGCGTCCTCTATTTAGCAAAAAGTCATTATTATTATTGTTATATGTGTATATTACAATGTTATAAATGTTTTGATTTAGCGTTATGATAATGAAAAAATTAACTTAGACATAACAACAATTATCATTATGATGTCATCATTTGAACGTCAATTTACAATGTAAATGTCGTTTTTGACGTCACAAAGACTATATTTTTGTTACCAGGAAATCTCCCCAGGTAGCAATCATAATTATTATGACGTTATTTCGACGTTTATTTAAATTACGTTATTTTCACATCAAAATTACTACTTTCGTTATCTGAGCATCTCATTTCAAGTTCGAATTATATAAAACAAAAAATCGTTGCATAAATAAATGAGATAAGGAAATATGCAGAGTATTTTTAAAACTATGTCAGAGATTTTAAGAGTATATTCTAGGAGTCAAAATAAGAAAAAAGTTCCTAAACATAAACATTGGTCTAAAAATGCTTTCCCTCCCGAGTCTATAACTCCCTAAAATTGAATGAAAAATTCGAAAAATGTATTGTAACTCTCGGAGACTTCCACAGATAGAGAAAAAGACTTTCAATAATCTGTGAAAAAGTACCTGAGAGTTACAATACATTTTTTGATTTTTTTTTACCCAACTTTAGAAGACTGTAACTTTAAAAGAACTTATTTGACTTGGATACTCCTAGAATACGCCCTGAAAATATCTGACATATAGTTTTAGAAACACTCTGTATACAGAGAAATTAATTTCAAGTTTCAATGAATGAAATAAACCTTTAGAAATTATTCACATTACATAAAGTCGACGAGAGGAATTTTTATTATAAAAAAACAGGGTTGGGTAATAACTAGTTAATTAATTAAAAGTTAAAAAAAAATTAAAAAGTTAATAACTTTTAACTTAGTCAAATTTTTTTATTTTTGAATACCATTATTGTTTTTTTTCTAAGTTATAAACGTATTATTTTTAAATTAAAGAATTATTCATTTTTATGTTCATTTGTTATCAATTGTAATTACCAAAAAATATATTTCTATATATAAAAATCAAAATTGTTTTGTTATTTGTTATTATATATTTTAAAAGAATTATATAACAAAATTCTAATTTAATATAAATAATATTTGTAAAAATTAACTTTTGATTTAATTTCAGTTAATTATTTAATCTTAACTTAACTTTAACTGAGTTAATTTTTTGTTCGTAAAACTTTTAACTTAACTAAATTAATTTTATAAACAACCAACTTTAACTTAACTTAGTTTAAAAAAATCATTAACTTACCTAACCCTGGAAAAAAGAATGAAAGCATCAAACTAAAGTTCCCACGGTTATATCAGATTGAAATACAAAATCTACGACTATTAAATAAAACGTACAGCTGAGTCATTGCGAGAACGCGATTTGCGTGAACCGTTATTCAAGCTCAAACTCCGTTTTTACAAGATTCTTTTAACACGACTATTGTTTACGAGATCCAAATGCGAACGGCCGATTCATCGTTTAAGTCAACTCTTCGCGTGGATGACTTCGTGGTTTACTTTAGCCGGCCCAACAAAAGTTGGGATTTCACGGTATCCAGAGATCAAAAATATAGAGGAACTCACACTGAGCTAATACCTACAACTGGCGACTCAACAATCGTATTGCGTTATTTCTATTTGGGAATCCCAGCGAGTTAGGCATATACACATACATACATATATATACAATCGAATATCGTTAAGGCAAATGATAAGGTCGCGGGCCCGGGACCAGACGGCCAGCTATAAATATAGCGTTTGACGTAACTGCTTCCTTCTGCGTACAATGTGCGTATCGACGCACAAAGCGATAGATTTCACGTGAAACGAGAGAGATATGAAAAAGCCAAAATTCGTCGATGACAGGCGCGTAGGTGTGCGACTAGGAAATTCGTTTCATGACGTCCAGGACTTAAATTCCTACGCACGAGGGAAACTTCTGAATCAATGTTACGTTAAAATTACATGTTATGTTAGAAAAAAGAGAGATGGGATCGAGCCTATTGAAACTTTTGCAACAACTCTATATAAGTATACATATATAGCAAACCCTAACAGCACAACATATTCAAAAGATTTTTAGAGGGCATCTATAGGACATCCGAACAATTGGATGTCCTCTGGATGTCCTCTAAACATATATATGTGCTAATAGAAAAATTGCATTGCGAGTATAGTATTCGATCTCTCGGACATTTTTTGAATACAAAACAAGAACATGAAGAGTTCTATATTCTTGCAGCAATTTAAAGATAGAAATATTCGATTTGTGCAGATTATTATTGGTGACGACGTTATTTCATTTCCTAAAATTTGATATTTTTATTTCGTTGAAAACTAAGAAAGAACTTTTCGCTAAAAAGGCAAATAAAATTATTATTCCAATATGTATTGAGAAAAATAATGAGATAGTCATGCGGAGAGCTCAATGCCGGTCTGATGTTCGTTTCAGGAACTCGTACCGCGAACTATACTGCTCTCTGTTAAAACATTTCGCACTTCAAGTTCATAGGCAGTCGGTAACGTAGCGTATTTCCTAGTTGCATAAGTCTTTAATAATCTCTTTATTAAATTAATTAATCGCAAAAACTTGGATCGTAAACATGAATGAAGAACTGTCAAAGTTTTGCGTCTCGAGAGAAACGATGTTCTGAAAGTTTCGCGAAAAATGTCCAACTATTTTAAAAGCTCGTAAAATATTAAACTTTCAATGAAAAACTCGATACATAAACGCTCCAATATACATAAAATTCTCCTGAAATTTCGCTCAAAGAGATGTTACGGAATTACGTCAAAAATTATTGTTGTCAAAGTTTATCGTGGCGCAAAATATGAAGAGGAGCAACTGAGAAATTTGTTGAAAATTCAAACTTCGGACATAAAACAATTCCTTTCTACACGTGCATCAGGCGTGAATTATTGAAGCAAATATTAACAAGCTCTTTCCACGTTTGTATACATTTGCGCATAAATTTACTTTGCACCGTTTGCATTTACTATTACACAGCTCTTTCTCCTTTATTTCAATTTGCTATTTTTTTTTGGTCTACCTTTTGAACTACGTTCAATTCTCGTAAATTGATGTTCTTCGAGTTTATCAATAATTGCGCACTATGTTTAAGTAATCAACAAAATAGATTCCTGGAAGTGATTTGAATAATGCAGAAACAAACTCCGTCAATATGTTATAAAACGTTATATCTTTCGCAAACATTTATCACTGATGTTTTTCCTTTCATGAAAAGAGAAATTAATTGTTAAAAATAAAATATATATATATTTATTTTTTAAATACTTAGATTTATCATCAATAATTCTATGCTATTTATCAGTGTCTGCTGTTATCTAAACAAAATTATATGGATGATCATCTAGATAAAACTTTGGCGTCATCTTATCTTTATATAGATAATAAAAATATGTATTATCTATATCTGTATCGTAGATGAAAAACGTATTATCTTACTAAATTATCTAGGATAATTTTCAGATAATTTTAGAATCATAGCACATAAGAAATACTTAAATAGTAGAACTTGAGCGATCAAAATTTATAAATAAAAATATGAATACATATATCCCTTTGATAATTGACATTTTCTTATAACTGCATGTGTTTACATAAGCAGTCTTAAAAATGATTATCTAGAAAATCATCTTCATTCTATCTAAGATAAATTTACAGATTCTTATTTCATCTTTATCCAGCTAATTTTAAAATCATCTAAGCACAACCCTGGCTATTGCATGCAAAAGATAATTGATATACCTATAGTATAGAATTATACAAGCGGAGCCTTCTCGGTTCCATTTTCGAATATTCATTGATATAATCTTCGGCGATCGTGGACACGATCGCAAGGTTTCAAGAACCGGATTCGAGGCGATGCAGGTTTTTTTCGAGCAAAGGGCCGAAACGCGCGGTCAGGCGACGTCACACACGAAATTGTCACGAGTCTCGCGTGCATCCACGGTCAGTGACGTCGTCGGTTTGCTGCTTATACATGCACGCATCGTGCATGTATGCATACGTTTCGCGTGAACGTAGGTTGACGTGATCTACGCGACCTTGACAAACATATTTCGTCAAGTCTTTACCTTTAAGATGCAAATAAATACAGCAAGCGCTGTTATAGGGTTTCGTCATTCAACCTTGAGAGAGAGAGAGAAAGAGATTACACGTGTTTCTGTCAGAAATTATAACGCGAGCAAGAGGAAGCAATTGATTTACATAGGAAGTCATTCCGAGCGGAAAAGTGGAGCAACTAATTTTCTCGTGCAACTTAAAAATTTTTTTCTTAAAAGAAATTTAATATTTTTTATTGACGCTATATATTCAACGAACTAACAATATGACCAAATATTTCGGAAATAATAGGCATTTTTTCTACGAGCTTCACGTGCGAGCTTGCACCCTTTCATTCGCAATAATTGAATGAATTTTCAGTTCGTCGATCGCAGAAACGCGAGAACGGAAATATGGCTTAATAAAGGCTGATCGCGACCCGCCATGATGTTTCTCTCTCCTCGCCCTTCCCGCGAATCCCTTCCCTCGCCACCCTTTTTAATAAAAATATTTCCCCTCTCGTGGTTCTTTTCTCTCCTTCTTCGAGAACTCGACTTCATCCCTCTCGCTCGCTCTCTCGCTCGCTCGCTCGCTCGCTCGTTTGGTGTTAGGGTGAACACGATTTGGGGTCCCCCACTTGTGAAGGCACTTAGCGTGAAGGTATTTGTCTATCGAAAACTATACCCTCGTTGCGCCGAGAAATCTGTCCCCCTCGCACGTTCTTTACGAGATTTCCCTTTAGGAGAACCGCGTTGTTTTTCGGTGGAGTGTTCGATAGTTAGTGACACGTGTGCACGCGATTTGTGGACACGAAGGAAAAATAGAAACCACCTCTGTTTGCCTACTTTTCGATATCAAAGACTCCGATATATCGCGTTACGAAGGCTATGAAAAATGACACATCTTATTGTTGTAGATATTAATTATTTTTATTGTAATAAAAATATTAATAAGAGAAACTCTAAAAAAATTTTTCCTATACTATATTGTCTCATGATTACCATGATTTTCAGAGAAGATCCTAAGAGAAAATTCTGTCTGTGTATGTATATTATTTGGAAAGAAGAAGAACGTAATTATTAATTAATTGCTCGATTACTTGTCCATGTAACAACTTGTCATATTGTACTGGGCAATTTTTATATGCACACACATTTATACGGAAAGAATTTTGTTTCAGAATTTACCCTGAAAATTATGGTAAATAGTCATGGAACAAAATGATATTGAAAGAATTTTATAAGAGTTTCTCTAATTGATAGTAAAATTAATCGAACGTATTTTATATCTTATTGTAATAGATATTAATTATTTTTATTGTGGTAAAAATATTAATAAGAAAAACTCTAAAAAAATTTTTCAAATACTATATTGTCTCATGATTACCATGATTTTCAGAGAAGATCCTAAGAGAAAAATCTGTCTGTGTATGTATATTATTTGCAATTATAAAAAAATTAATGTATTCTATAATCGCATATAATCACATATAATAATATATAATCGTTGCATAAATCATATCTGTACATAAATAGTATTAGCTACTGGACGCAATTAACCAGAGATATAATGTTTCTAGTCAAATTTCTAATAAAAAGAATTAATAATATAGTCCATTTTTATTTACATTTGTTATCAAATAATTAATATACAATAATAATTAATAAGTAAATACCAATAATATCTGGACAGAATTGATTAGAAATTTGCATTTAAATTTGAATTTTATTTTAATTTTTGAATTTATAAACGCAATTAAATAATAATTATATACAACTATAGTCACGTAAGTAATTACTACATAAAAATGTAAATTTAGTTGGCAATAAATCTGTCTGTTACATAAAAACTGGAAATGGCAAAAAACGCGCACCACGTGCATTAATATTATCTCTAACAGTACAAGTGTATCTAAAATCTTCCATCTAAATTTCGCATTTCGTGAAATTTCGAGGCTGGAGTTTCAACGTCGTAATACCACGTTGCCCTCCCTCGACCATTCTAGATATTTTCGATCCACAGTGTATAGGCATGCATATTATGCGCCGGGGGAGTTCGAAACGCGAGGGAGAGGAAAGGGTGCATTTTGTTTTGCAAGATGCAGACACACACACACACAGAAAGAGTATGTCGCAACGAGGCAATTAAACGATCGTAAAGCTTAACGTTTCACTGACGACCGGCCTCCAGCAATCAATCGGTCCCATTGTGGCCGATGTTACCTTCGGTACACTCTGTATACGCCTGCACATATATACAGTGTAGGCTCTCCCTCTGTTTCCCTACCTCTCTCTCTTTCTCACCGATACCATCTATCTTCCCTGCTCCATCTGGTCTCGTCTCTCTTTCTCTCTTCGTGGTCGGTACTCGCGACTCGCTGCCTCGGGGCGAGGGATAAGAGCATATCAGTGCTGTCGTCGGTGTGCCCTCTTGCCCCGTTCCAAAATCAATACAAATTTCTTATCATCAATTATGAGTGTATATTACATGTTTCTTTTCCATATATATATATAAAGATAGAGAGTGTATATATATATATTTAATTCTGTGAACAAATTTTAAAATTGGAACTGTCAATTTGCGTGCACGTACACGTGTGTACATGTGTGATATAAAAGATATCAATAAAATGCGATATTTAGTAAAAAAAAGAAATTTCGAAATTTTTCAGAACGTATCAGTAAGATTCTTTAACAAAGATTGAGCTATATAGTTTATTCAAAGAAGCTTTTATCTTCCATGTATAATTTTACGTAAAGTTCCAAAAATGATCGAGGAATTTGTTCAAAGAATAATATAATCCTAATAATAATATAAATAATAAAAATGTTTAACAATTGCATATCGTCATATCTTGCAGACTTTCAAGATACATTGTAAAAAAATATGTAAAATTACGTAAATAATAAATGTAATTTTATATATCTTTTTACAGCGTATGCAATCATTTTCAATCTTTCAAGATTATTCTCTTAAACAAGCTCCAAAAATGGATTTATCGCCTGCAAAAAATTATCAAATTAATAAACATTTATTTCAATACTACCTAACAAATCATTTATTTGAAACAAATAAATATATTTATCACACCAAATCAATATCACTTCAGTTTCAAATAAATAATTTACCAAACGGTATATCGAAATAAATACTTATTCAAATTTAATAAACTTGGTTTCAGTGCACACAAAATCTCCATTTAGTTTACCTAAATTACATATTTAAGGAATAGAATAAATATTCCAAAATATCCGATCACACGAAGTACGGATCAGAACAAATGATTATGGAATGAATTCTCAAATGATTTCGAGGAAGAAGTGCGCGCGACCCCTCTTGACAGCGCTACATCAAAGGGACCACCGCTCGATCCACACCTGCGCCGCGATCCCGCGTAGCGGGGGCGGCGAGAACGACGACGGTGGTGGCGGTGGCGGCCGCGGCGGCGTAGAGGACGGCAACGAGGAGGCACCGCACCGCCGCCAGTAGCTCCCAGGCAGTGACTCCGCGCGTCACATGTAACCGGTGGGTCCCACATTCACCGTTGGTGTGTTATGTCATCGGTGACAATCCCAGGACGCGAAGGTGCCGGGGATAAAAGCGCGAGTGATCGACCAGGAGAATCGTCGATTGTGTGTTCGGAAGGTGTGTTTGCCTGCGGATCTTCTTCTCCCGGTACAGCGTCGCCCGGGTACATTCACCTTCCTCGCGTCGAGAATCTCGAGTCGCGAGGCTCGAATTGGATATACCTAGCGAAGCTTAAGCTCGTGGACGAGCGATGAGGATCGACGTTCCTGGTGCTCTCGCGTGTCCCCGTTCGCGGCGTTGTGTCACGGTTCGATAGCCGGACGAACGCCGGCGAACCTCGGCGTCGAGATCGGAAGCGTCCGGGTTAATTCCGGTGGATGTCGACGAACTCGCGATCTCGGGTGATTAGACGACGGGAATAGGCGGCTGGTCCCGGGGTGGCAGTAGAACGCGGAAGCTTCGTTCCGGGACGACAATGGCGAGGAGGAGGTGGCCTTGAGTTGGACTGCGCGAGAACCAAGTTCGGTGAACGGTCGACTTGGCGGGAAGAAGCTATACGTCGCTTCATCGTTACCGGGTGTCTACGATGCGTACAGTGTGGTGAACGGGGTTCACGACTCTTGATTATACACCCGAGAGACACGCCGCCGCGACGGAACCATGTAAACTACGAGGCCAACGTTCGCATACGTAGGCGATTTTGCGCGCGAGGAGAGGCGTAAGTTGCGTCCCATTACGCGGCGATCCGCGATAATTCGATCCAGCAGTCATCGTCCAAGTCTTCGCTGTCGATCGAACCAATAAATCGGGTGGCCGGATGACAGAGTAATCACCGTTCGTTGAATGGAGTGATGAGCGGGGCCCCTGCGCGGGGCACAGTGCCCCGTCGTCAAAGACGTCATCATCATCATCATCATCATCATCAGGACCAGCAGCAGCAGCATAATCATCATCAGAAGCATCAGAAGCGCGTCCGGGATAAAACGTCGCGAGATAGAACGTTGGACGAGCCTGAGGAGAAGCGGCCGAAGGTCAACCCGATCTTCCTCTGGGCGTCGCAGAGCGAGCAGAGGATCATCGAGGTGAGATGCGAGGACTACGATAAGCGGAATCGCATCAAGCTGACGAAGACCGCGCAAGGATGGCGCTCGATACCGCGTACAAAGTCCAACGTTTACGCGATTGCCCTGGCCGGCGAGAGGACAACGTCGAGCCCGGTCGAGTCCTCGCCGGCCTCCTCGGTCTCGTCCAACGACGAGAAGGAGAACGGCAAGCGGCACCAGGAGGCGGTCGCGCCGACAAACGGTTTGCTTACTGGCGAAGGCGTAGGCAGGAAGAGACGTTACGACGAAGAGGCGAGTCGACGCGGCTATCCCTACCTTCTGGGAACCTTTTCTAGGAATTCCGGGGATTGCTCGGATGAGGATAACGACGACGAAGACGGGGAGAGAAACGACGAGGAGGATAAGGATCGCGAACGGAGCAAGGTGGAGGATCGTCTGTCCAGCTTGAAGAGTAAGGATAGACTGGACGACGGTCGGGTGAATCTGGAGAGATTGCAAAAGGACAAGCTGTTCCAGCCGCGCGTCGTTCTGGAACAGTTGCATCTGTCGCAACTTCCCGAGAGCGCGCATCAAAATGTTCGCCATCCGAGTCGAGCTAAGGACGCGAATGAGACGAAGCGGATGGAGGAGAGTAACGGGAAGGACGCCGTCGACGAGCCGGAGGATGAGGACGAAGGAGAGGATAGTGGGAAACCGAGTCGGCTGAACAAGCCGGGCATTCAGGATATATTGAACATGATAGAGGCGACGGCCTCGCCCGTTCTCGCCACCGACACTCCCAGCGCCGATCTACCGGTCGATTCCACCAAGACTTACGAGGTTCTCGGCGAGAAGCGACCTTCCGTCGAGAGAAAAGTCGAGGAAATCACGAAGAAACCCGAACACGCGAGGGACTCGTCGAGAAGAGACTCGACATCCAGTTACCAGGCCGACCTGGTCGTCGACCAGGATGGCGAGATCGAAGATAAGCTGGAGGTGCACGAGGAGAAGATCCTGGAAGAGGATTGCTGCCTGGAGGAGCTGGTGGATAGGAAGATTCGGGTAGAGGACAAGAAGGAGAATAACTCCGGGACGGTGTTGAATTCCTGTAAAATCGCCGAAGCCGACGGCGGACTGGTCGAACGATCGAACTGCGGATCCAACTCTCTGGTCACGTGGCCGACATTGCCGGCCGAGGTGGAAACGCCGGCAGAGGCCGAGGAAGAGGCGCCGGACGAACCCGGCGAGCCGGCGAAAATCGATTACGACGATAGCTCGAAGATTCTCGACGCTCTGAGAAACACGCCGGGACTCTCGGTGTCCATAACCAGGAGCCAGATGCCCGAGATCGGCAAGAATCTGCTCGTGCCGCCCGCAAGGCCACCCTCGAAGGCTTCTTCGTCGAGCAGGTCGCCGGATTCGCAAGCGGAATGCGTGGAAAAGTTGCTGAAGAACTCGAGCGACTTCGTGAACGACAATGGCGGACGCGCGAGCTCGCCTCGCAATTTGCCGGGTCTCTCGATCGTTATCCCGAGCTATTGTTACAAAAGTGCTTCGAGTCAGCTGACGACCTCGCCGAGCACGAAACGTCGCGTCGAATCGCCGGAAAGCACCGTCAGTTTCAACAAGGCCGACGCTTATCCGGAGCAGTTGAAGCTGGACGGGTTTCCTCACGAGGAGGACGAGGACGAAGAGGAAGACGAAGACGAGGACGACTGCGACTCGCAGGTCTTGGAAGACCTCAGACGGCAGAAGGCGGATTCGCTGGCGTACACCGTCGACGCGGATTACTACAACAAGGTGGGGTCCAGAGTCCTTAATCAGGAGGATCGCAAGACCTCGCAGGACACCATGAAGAGCGATTCGCTCTGGATCGGTTCCAGCAGAAGCAACGAAGCGCAAGCCAAATGTAAATACCGAGACCTCGAGCATTTCGACGAGCAAGTCTTGGAGGAACTGCGATCACGAGGCACCGTGGTATCTCCTCAGCCTAGCGGAATCCCTTGTTCCCCAGCGTCCAGAAGACCGTCATCGGCATATCTCGAGAGGTTACTACCTAGTCCGCCCTGTTCGGTTTCCTGCTCGGAAGATGCTAAGAGCGAGTTGACCTGAAGAGCATCCTGGCCTCGTCCGGTTGCTTGGAGCCGCGGGACTACGAGAGACCGAAGGAAGGAACGTCGACGCGATTCGATCAGAGCGTCGAGGTTCCTGCTTCTCGATCGGTACCCTCGAACGTTGACAGAAACATGAAGAGGCTCAGCAGCGGCCAGCAGCGCGGCTTCCAGGAACGTCTGAACGTTCACAGTCAGGAGACGAGGAACTCGGGCAGGCCGATGTCCAGCGGCGACATCCACAGCACTTTCTACACGATGGCGGATCGCGTCGCCCCGAAGAGACCGATGTCCGTCGAGTGGCAGTCGAACGGACAGTGGCAAAGAGCCAATCAGATCGGTTGCTACCAGAAGATCGCCGCCAAAACGAGGAATCACACGACCGATCGTCCGAATCGAAATCAGATCGCTTGCGCGGCGACGTCCAGCAGCACGGACAAACCCCTGGACCCGGCTAGTCAGTTACGGGAACTCGTCGAGACCGTCGGCCACCTGATCCCCGATCCTCTTCTGGTCCCCCGCGATTATTTACCGGGTCTAGCCGCGGCGCCCGCTACAGAGATCCCGAAACTGTTGGCCAGCAGGCCCGAACTGAGGCTCCCCGAGGCCCTGACCAGGCCCGATCTTCTCCGGGATCCCGATCTACTTGTGATATCGCTGGCGCATCTGCAGCACGTGCTGGATCACGGCGAGGGTCCGGTCTCGAGATCGCGAGCGCAACAACCGCAGCGACTCAGAACTGGCATTAACGGGGTTAATGGCGTCGTTAACAAGAGCACGTCGAGCAACAACGGCGCGAGGGGATCCGCCAGGCCCAAAGTCAGCTGTAAACCGATCGGCGCTCTGATGCCGGCGCAGCCGATCGATCTCTCGAACGGCGCCAACCGATTGCGCGTCAATCCCTATCCGCCTCTGCTCAGGGTGCGCAGCGGATTGCTCAAGCAGGAGCCGGAAGTGAGTTCCACCGCGACCTCGCCGGACGAGTCGCAGCTATGGCACCCGTTGTTCGGCAGGTAATTGTTTTCGCATTTATTTTTATTTTTATACTTATGCCACGTGCTTCCTTCGCTCATTATCTGAGTAATAACTCTGACGAGCGAGCGAAGACGATAAAATATGACTAATTACATTGCTGATAAAAACACGACAAATATATAACAAAGGAAACATGCATTTAGTAATGTTCATTTAGTAATATTCAAGACGCTAATGTGAAATTTAAAAAAGGATTTTGATTAATTAATAAATATATGTAGATCTGTATAAGATAATCTATCTAAAATTTAGAAATAATCTGTAAATATAAAAATCTGTTTTTAAACATACAATTGACAGAACAAACGTTCAAATTAATAAACAATGCATTTTCAACAAAAATTGGATCACACATTTTTCGAAGTAAACAACTCAATTAGCCATGCATAGAGAATCCAGTATTCTATATTTATCGACTTAATGATCAGCCTCATCTAGTATTAAAATTACGGATAATGAACGGTATAATGAACTCGCGAGCGGTCGAAAGATAATCGAGGAATAATAATGATGCATTTCGATCGATGGCGACGATTATTATTTTTATTTTTGTATCAATGTTCGCGCTGAATGATCCAATTAAACGAATTACGTTCCGTGCGGCATTTAATAGAATTAAACGTTCGGAATGTGTAATACATCCGATGAAATGCGCCGACGTGTTGGCGAACGGACGGCACGTCGGATATATTTAGAGCGAAAGAGGTGAACGGAGGAAATAAACCAAAAAAAATAAAATAAAAAATAAAAACGAGAGTGGCGTCGATGCTGCACTTATTCGCGCGCAAATAGATCGGCCTTAATAACAATCGTGACAAACCAAGTGCACGAAAACAATGCTGTTAATCCTACCGAGCATTCGCTGAGGAAGACGAGCAGAGCGACAAAGCGATTCGGCGAGGAGAAAGGAGAGAAAAAAAGAAAAAAAAAAAGAAACGAGAAGTGGCACGGTCGGCTTCGTTTATTTAAACGCAGAAGAGAGACAGAGAGATTGACAGAGAAGCGCGCGCACGCAGGAAGTGCATTCTGATCCCTTCCGCGTCTACTATTAACACGCGACGCGACATGCTCGGACGCATGCAAATGCGTCTGTATTCACGTCGCCGCGTGTTGCGGAGCAATTAAATTTATATATCATTTATATCGACCTGAGTGTGTGTGTGTGTGTCCGCGGGTCCCTCGGGAGATTCGTCATATCGCGATGCTTTGTACATATACGAATCGCGGGCGCGAAGAGATCGCTTCCGCGATTCCGCTTGACGCGACTCGAGACGGTGACACGAAGAGGCCGACCGGGGGTTCATTTGCATCTTAATACCCAGATGTGTGTGTTGGTAGCGCCGAACAAACGGGCTCCTCCACCGCGGAAGAAGGCCTGTCACTCGGGCTTGTAACGAGTCGCGATTATCGTGCGCGTCTCAGTACATCGACACTGTTAAATATTTAAATTAGATCGAACGCTGTGACAAAGAGAAGGAGAGAGAGAGAGAGAGAGAGACGAGCACTTTGGTGTCGCACCTCCTATACGTCAAGAGGTCGAGCGTGACCCGCTACACTTCCTCAGAGAGGCATCGAAAAGAGGATATGACGGCCGTCATTAGGTGTAATTACGACAAGATAAATAGACATTTCGTAAAAAAAAGGAGAATTATAACGCGATGATAAATAGGCTCGTGTAAATTCAAAAATTATGAATAAAAGAGATCAACTGAACGAGCAAAATATTTTTAGATGTTAAGTAATTTTTATTTTATTTTATATATAAAATAAAAAAAATCTTAATAAAAAATGTTAGATGATTTTTATTTTATTATACTTTTATTATATAACATATTATATTATATGTATCTATATAATAAAGTATTATATATAATACATATTATATATTGTATATTATATATAATATATATTTTATATTACATATACTTTATATTATATATACCTATATATATATGTATATATATATATATATATATATATATATATATATATATTATATTTTATTACATATTTTAATTTGTTCGACTATTAAAATTTTACTATATAATAATTGGAAGGTATATATAAGTAGGTACATAATAGAAATATATATATCTTCCTATTATATACCTTATTATATAATAAAATAAAAATTACCAACATCCAAAAATCGTTTGCTCGTTTTAATAAGTTGATAAAAATATTCATTTTGACCGTGCTGCCGCTACATTCCTCGTTCGAAATCTCAATTTTTTATAAAGTTTCGCCTCGCATTCTTCTAAATTCCGTCGTCGAGAGCTTAGAATAGAATTCCCAAAATTCTACGCGATGTACGTCGAAACTTTTGGCAGCGCCGATCATGATTCGTACCTATATAACGCGAGGTTCGCTCTAGGAGGAGATGGAAATTTCCAGCCTCGATCCTACGACGAACTGTTAATTGGCCGATCGAGACTTCTCTAATGAGGAACGCCCGTTCGGGCCACGATTGGCCACATTGGCACAACGCGAAACTGGGTCGTAGTAAACGCTTTTCGTCCTACGTTCGTTGTTGTTGTCGACTTAGCTTAGCTCGACGTCGACGACAAGGCTGCGCGCGGTTGCGCAAGTCCGCATATTTAGGATTCATAGGCTCGGGTATAGATCGAAGGACCGATAACAATACGTGGGTAGAAAGGATAAGGTTATCCAGTGACGGTATGCTAATTTTCTTCGCCGGTCGTGCCAGGGAGGACGTCACCGCGCTCGCTTTATATTTATTATGTTTAGATCGCGCTTAAAAGCTGCCTCGATAAATTAGCCTTGAATCGATTAAACGAAAACAGCGACTCTCGTATATTTATTCTATAAATAACGTCAATATTTTATGAAAAAAAAAAAAATAAAATAAAAAGAATAAAAAAATTACAAGTCGATTTATCTTGTCCAGTAGAAAAATATGCTTATGCCACTATAAGTTGACAACATTATTGATAAGATCTCCTTATAGAGAGAGCAAGAAAAAGAATTTCCATATTACATGTGCAGAAATATATTTCATGACGTAATATATAAATATTCCAATCGCGGTAAACAATATCTTCATATAATCTTGCTTACACAAAGCAAAATACAAGACGAAAGAAAATTAGTAACATAAATAATCGGCCAGGATCTTTCACTCGCATCTTCCTAAATATAGTTATCGATTTGCGTCGAAGTAGACGAGTTTCTACAGTCGACACTAAACTCTCCCCTCGATAATGAAACGCGAGGGACAAGGAGACCTTAGCGGCAATTAACGGAAGTCTCGTGAGAGACAAAGAGAGCGCACCGACGAAAAGTTCCCGAAGAGGCATTCGGAATTACACGGTGCTTGCGATCCCGCGAGTGTGATGTAATAAACGCGGGCACCACCGAGACACGAAAAGAGAACACGGACCTTTCGCCACAGGGCAGGAGCACTTGTGTAAATAGCATTAGGATGCTACTATTCGGCGACGGACGGACGCTTTTAATGAGAGGGAGAGGCATTAGAGGGCCCTCGTCGTCGTGTGACGTCGACGCGAACGTTCATCGATCGTGGCACGAACAGAGGGCACCGGGAATTCGAAAGCTCGGAGGGACGTGGTAAAGGGGACAGAGAGGGAGGAAGGGGGAGGAGAGGGTGCTGGACAGGAAGCAAAAATCTCTGCGGGATTTAACCCTCTCGTGTGTGCGACTGGTCGAACAGAGGGAGAGATCAGTTTATTATTCCGGAGTAACGATCTCACCGAGAGAGGATGATCGTCCATTTTGTGTGTATTTTTTTTTTGAATATTTTAATTAACTTAGAAATAAATATTTTTATCGGCTCTCAATATAAACAATATAAATATGACGTTTTCTAAATCGGCCAACAGAGCCGAAGAACGAAAAATTGCGAAAATTAATTACTCGGAATTGTATCTCTTGGTACGAGATTACAAAGTTCCATATATAAATTAATCTCGATATTTTAATTAATATTAAATGTGGACAAAATTTAGATCTTCTTTCTTCTAGAGATGCGCTTTCCAGTTGATCGCGTGTGAGTTTAAGGGGATGCTGATCATGTCTGGTTTACCGACTTTCAGTTCAAGGGCTTTTCTTTTTATTGACTATGCAGATTGAAAAATCCTTCTCCACAATTAAAATATTGATAATAATGAACGGGGAGCGCTGGAATTATAAAAAAATAATAAAAGTTAAAAAATTAGTTTTCATCGGCCTCTTGCATCAGCTCATAACAATATACTTATTCAATGCAAAAGTTCTGCAGTTTATTTGTGCAGAAAATATGGCGCTTCCAATAGAGATGACACGAAAGAATAATACAGAAGTAATAAAAACAAAATTAACAGCCTGTATCAAAAGATTCGTACTTGAATTAATTATGTATGTATATTTGCGTGCGGAATTGATGTCGAGGCATAAAACAGCAAAAATTTGCCGGACTATCCATTCATTATTAGTATTAGCCCATTATTAGTATACCATTCATTATTATTAGTACTTTCATTATGGAGAATTTTTCAAATCTGTATATTTAATAAAAAGTGAACTTAATCTAACTTAAAATCGATAAAACAGAACTACGGCAGCATTCCCTTAATGATTCGAATTAAATCCGACTTATGTACTATATGTATATCGTAGAAAGTTGGAACTTGGACGCGGAATTACATCGAACAACATTTTATCATAACAACAATATTTCTTTCCATTATTTGCTTGCACGATACTTGTTGCATAAGACACTTGTGTAATCCGCGTCATTCCTCACGTGGCAAACGTCGAAAAAAAAAGAGCTCAACTGAAAATATGTCGCGCAGCGTATCGCTTCGATTAGCATTCAACTTAGCGTGCAACTTTGTAAATCAACAGGATGTATGCACATCACCCGTTGATAAGACGTTCTGCACGTTTTGCAAGAAGCGCACATCGCGCCGAGTAATCAAGTGATAATTAAAAATAACAAACCAACTCCGATCATTTCTCT